CTATAGCTGGTTTTTGTTAATATTATATAATATAGGGTGTATCATAAAGGATGGTGGGGTTTCAAACGGCTGTAGGTGGTGAAGTATTGGATCTACAGCGTTCTGGTAGGTTTGTTAAGATGGCGTCCTCACAAGAGAAGTGATCGAGTTCGCGAAGCGTAATTCAGTTACGACTATGAAACATCCAGTGTCAAAGACATCTAGTGGCAATCATTCGAAACTTGACAACTCCCTCTTTCATTCAAGCCCTACCAGAACGCTGTAGGTCTAATACTTCAGAACTTACAGCCGTTTGAAACCCCACCATTCTTTATGATACACCTTATATTATATTTTTTAGCCAACAATAATACATCACAATATCGTTGTGTTAAATTGGGTTAAGTATTTGACGCGACGCGACGTTGATGAAATGGCGTAGGCCCAAAGTTTCTGTTTTACATTACTATCACTATTATTATTCTTATGCTCGTTCGTCGATCGGTTCAGACGTTAAATAGACTTGGGCGTCGTCGACGTGGGCACGTACAGGACGGTTGTATGTAATATTAAAGATATACCTATGCCGTATACACGTTTCAAGTAGGTAGCTGCTGTTTTCTTCACAGTCTCCTCTATGTGGCGTACGTATACTCGGGTACTCTATATAACAGTAGCGCAGCCACTGTTGGCTGCTGTTCTATTGTATATTGTTGTTTCGCATGTGAGTGTGACAATACAAAATGTATAATATTATTTTTCCACTTCCACCAAGATTATAAGCGCGCGTTGTTAATAATTTGCCGAGCGCGCGACGACATAATAATAATAACAACATTACAGACATAATATTGTTATTATGTTGTATATTGAGCAACCGTGCGTATACCGCGCGTACCTAACTTATATACCGTGGTGTGCATGCGGGTTGCGCGTACACAATATTATTATATTGTACTTAACGAACGGTGTGTGTGTCAACCGAGGCGGCGGCCTTTCTCTCGGGGCGAAATCATTTTTAAAAAAACTAGAAACAAAAATATAATTACCGCCACGTGACTTAATTATTAAAACATCGTTATACACACACTCCTATACGAGTACAAATATGTACATATATAACAATAATGATACGCATACACACAGCGTCGCCCTCCGCCCCCTTCCAAAGCGGTCGTGTCACCTTTGCGTTCATACATACATTACGAAACGACGATGTTACACATTCCCTCGTACGGATAGCATTCTACTTCGACCTCCAAACCGACAAAAAAATAAGAAGAAAAAAGGACAATAATATTGTTATTTTTTTAGTCGGCTTTGGCTGGTACCTGTCCGTCTGGACCCGGTAAAGTCTATGTGGAAGTCACGAAGTCTCTCGTTCGAGCGAACCCCACGACTTGGCTGGCAAACTTCCAACAGTCTGTGTGTAGTGTCAGCCGTCGCCCACCAATAATATGGCTATAAAAACGTGTCGAAACTAGTAACCTGTAGCTCTACCTCCAGCGGGGGGGGGGGGGTGTTTAAAGTTAATTGTTTGTTTTTTTTTGAAAACTAAAATATTATAATATATACTACTTATTAGAATTGAACGACTGAAACGACGGGAGAGTAAGTGCCCACCCTGCCAATTCTAAAATGGCGCCACCGACGACCACGAAAGACATTCAAAATGCCAACAATGTCATACTAATAATTACTTAAATCGATTCATCCGATTGCCCAGAAGCTTTCCGACAATTATGTATAACATGTATTCTTTGTGTCTGTATACAAAGAGGCTGATAAGTGATTATCTATTACTATGTTTAGACTGAAGCGTAGAACCACGGTTGTTAACCCTTTACAAAAACACCCTATAATATTTACTTAATATATTCCAGTGGTAAAACCCGGTCAAATTTGTTTAGCAACGACCTTTCATAAGATTTAGCTTGAAAGCAAACTTTCAAATAATACTTAAAAGAATCGTAAATTGAAGATTGCCAACATTGCGACAACATTTTTTTTTATCATTATTAATGATATATTTCATCAACTTGCTAATTCGTTGCCACGGGCAAAAAGGTTTGCGAAAACCGCCACTGGCCAACACACTGGTTATAATTTGGTAAAAATTCCAATTACATAGTATAAATTACAGTTTATACAAATTGGCCAGCCCTTGAGTATTACACTATTATTTATTCCACTGAAATATTCAAAAACTCAAATGGCCCATAGAATCGTTTGGACAGCCTAACGTGCAATCGCGTGTCAAGATGATAGGTCTGTCTGACCCTGATTATAATGGTCAACGATAGGCCTCAAGCGACGTTACCGGTTTAAATCTCGCAATAGCCTTTACTTTATTGTTTATGACTGGATTTTTGAAAATACCATGAATGTCTTCTCTAAGCATTTATTTTTTATTATTATGAAATTTTGCGTTTACAAATTTATTTCGACAATTATATAATTTATTTATTCAAATATGATTTACAGTTATTATTATTATTTACAAAGATACATTATTTACTAAGTTTTAAATATTGAAAATGTATGTAAATGCTGTAAAGAACTAACTTTTCACAATGTGATCAATTTTGCCTATACACCTATGCACGACAAGCATGTATAATTTATTAATGGATAAGTTATTTATAGGCTAAGTAAGTGTTGTCATTTTCCACCAGAAATGGTTTAAACATTTAAGAAAAGTTTATTTTCTCAGTTAATGCCTCAATATTTTTAGGATAACCACCTCTGAATTGAATATTATCTAGAAAATAATTGTTGAACCTATAATTATGTGACGTTTGGCCATTGTACTAATATTGTGCGTCGCTGGTCACTGACGAATAAATACAGTGGGTTTTGCGGTGTGTTTCCATAGGAATTAAGCACATATCTAATCTCTTGTATATAAATATAAGGACTCTTTCAAAATTTCACAACGTCGATGGCAATAGGTAATGCAAAAAACAAATATTGCCGAACGCTTGTACGTGACTTGTTTAGGCAACATACAATCTTGTATTTTTCTTTGGTTCTCGCTCCAACCGACGGAAAAAGAAATTATACGTTTAAGTAATTTTATATATTATGTTTCTTTATTTATATATATATACATTTTTTTGGAACAATGATAATCAAGCGATATATTTTTAAAACTTTTTTCATTATAATTTTTTCTGACATGAACGCTCATCCAATATTATTGGCAAACCGTCTCGTGCTACTGACCGAACCGCTGTCGAGTCAGGCATAATAAAAACGCACTTCCTCCAGTCTGTATAATTCCTGTATTATTATTACACTATTTATTTTTAATATTCTGAAAATATTGCGTACACAACTCGACAACAGGTTGATTGAACTGTCAGACTGCCAACGCACACGTTTAGCTAAACTCGCACGCGCGTTGCATTTTCTATTATTATATGGCTATTGCAAAGATAACAAAAGTATGCATAAAAAAATCAAAATATCGTGACTGCTTACAGTAGTGCAACTACCGCAAATCCTAAAACAGTTATGCTTTGGCGCTTCGACTTATTGCAGAAGCCCCAAAGAGTCAAAGCGCTTGTGGAGAAAAGGCAATAGAGCAAATAAATAAAAACCCTTTTTTATTTTATTATTAGATTTTTAAGTAAAATGCAGTTAAAGAAAAACATAATGTTTGTTTTTTCTATAAAAAAAAAAATTAATTAAAATTTTTCCCATTCTTTTACAACATACATCAAGTCTACACCAATTTAAACGTAAAAAACTGAGCGAAATGTAACATAATAAAAACTTGAAAGTTTACTAAACAAAACCCAAAAATATACAATATTTATATCATTTTTTATGGAATAATTATGTATTGTGACTTACAGAACCGATTTAAAATTTAAAGAAGTAATTGAAAGAAGGACAAAGGGCTGAAACGGTAAGAGCAACTCTTAATTTTTTCATTTTTTGAACCTTCCAAGTTTGAAGCCCGTCTTCCAATTTGTAAACTATTTTAGGGCTTCTGAATTTTTTTTCTCACTACAAATACTATTAGGTTTTAAAATATAACCTTGGTAGCAAAATATTTTATTTACAATAAATACTACAACTAGAAATAAATACTTCATTAAAATTTTTATAGGCACTCACATTTTACTTGTGACAACTTGAAAAACTAAATCTTAGTCTCTAACGCGCTGAAACTCGTATGTTGAGTTAAAAAGTTATGTTTAACAAAAAATTACTTTTAAAAAAATGAATATTTTCAAAATATAGTAAAAACACAAAAAAAATATGTAGAAATTTATCGGTAAATTTGTCTTTTCTGTTGCTATTGGTGTTCCTTTGTTTTGGGTCTAACTGGGTTAAAACAAGGTTACGGGTCTTCTTTTAAATCTCCTTCAATCGCACTGGCTGGATATACGACGTGTGGGAAAGATCCATATCGTATTTTGTGTTTAGAAATTTTTGAGCCACAAACATTTGACCAACAACAGTATTGTGCACTTATAATCTATACATTATTATAACTTCACTGAACACTTATATATGCAAACACGGTGTATTTTATACTAAACAGCCGATCGAGAAAGCAATCCGTAAGGCTGAGCCATATAATATTATCCGCTTTCTATTTAATTATAGAAACACACACTCTAATGCATATATATATAGACCGGTGCGTTACTTTTCACTTTTCTGCATAATGTGCACACATACTTTATTGTAATAATAATGTGTAACGTGCATATTATTATTATCGTTGTCAACGCAATGTCCATTATCTGTTGTTATTGGATATTATGTAGGATAAAATTATGCAATGTTTATTATATTGTTTGGCCGGAGTGAGTGTTTAGAGATTAGGAAACATTGTGCGGAGACTTTGACGCCCGGTACATGATACACATTTGGCATTACATAGGAAGGTATTATTATACTTGCATATTATAACGATCGTGCGGACGCTTAAAACTTAAGACTTGTGTCAAAATAATCAAGTAGAAATGATTTAATAGGTCAAAAATAGTTGCATGAATATTTACCATTGCTCGTTTGGGGTTGTATTGGCCAAGTCAAAATCCAAAATTGAGTGCTGCCACTCGGTCACTGTCGTTCGCGCACAAACCGTCCGGGACGCATTGACAACCGCTCGACCGATTTGTGTTTGTTACGATTATTGCGAGTAGTTAAATTTAAAAAAAATCTTTTCAAGTCAAATTTTTTGAATCGCCAAAAAAATAGTGTACAATATACCACCGTGGTGTCGGTTTGAGCGGTATTGGAAAAATACAATCGGCTTAAATCTCAAAGTCAGCAACGCGTTGTGTTTAGATGGTGACTGACGCCGGTAACGCGTCTCGCCGTAGGTCTGGCTCGTGTGTACTATAACAGGTACACATCTCAAAACGAGGACGACGACGGACACACTTGTCCTTTCTATTTTCCCTACCCTTCCCCCCCCCTACCTTGAGCATTAGCAGAGCGCCGGCGGTGACCACCACCCGTATGGAAACGAGCTGAGGCCTATAGTCCTTACTACTCATGTATTATATAGTATACATAAATTGGATCAGAAAGTATAGGTACCACCATTATTATTGTTATTACTATTATTTTCAAAACGAATCGTTCACTAGTCAACGTGTGCATACGCCAAACGGTGTACACGATATAAATTATCTATGCTACAGTACCTATAAGCGTATAGAGCAGTTTACATACATGCATAGGTTTTTGTGCTGTTTGCCGCAAAATAGTTATTTATTAATTTTTGTAAATAAAATATTATCGTACACAGAGAAAACAGCTTTCCCCTTAGTCCGGAGGTGCGTGTGTATAAGTATTTTATCTCATTTGCGCCAGAACGCGCTCTCATGCACAGCATCTGCACAACTACACTGAAACCAAATACATATATATATATATATATACATATACATATATATATATCTTATATATGTATGTGTAAAACTCTGAAAAGATAATGCCGAACTGACCATGGTGTAACATGAAAATAAGAATATTGTGTTTCCAAAAATGCTAAAAAAAATTGTTTCATTTTAAATAGCGACATACGACTAGTCGTTATGCAATCAAAATTTAGCTTTTATTGCAACAATTGCAATAAAGTACATTGAAATTATATTTTTTTCAGCTCGAATACGTGTACGATGATGTTTTCATATGAGGCCGGTTCAAAATTCGGTAATAATAAGTCTCTATAAATACCTACTTATTTATGATTGATATTTTGTCAATTTTTATAAAAAAAATAGTACACGAAAAACTATAATAGTATTTTTCAAACATTTAGAGGAAATTGATCAACAAAAAAAGTAAACATGCTACGCAGTTTAGTCTAAGCCCGGATACATTTGTTCAGAGTAATTCTTTCATATTTTTAATATACCATCAATTGGTACTATATGCATTATAATAATTATTGTGCCGGCTATTGTGATGTAAAATAGAATCCAAGGGTTAGTAAAAACAAAATGATCTTAACACGAAAAATAGAATATTAAATGTTTACTAGTATGGGTTATAATGTAAAAACTCAAACCGGTTAAACCTACGTACAACAATGTATTTGTCATTGGACGAGCTGATGAGAACCAGCTCCTAAGCGTACATAGAAAACTATACGCCTAAACATTATATTTTTATTACCGTAAAGTGTGTGTTAACAACCAGTTATCGATGGCACAGAAGCAATGGGTCTAATTAAAACGATGATGACCAAATATATTATGTATAACAGCCCAGAGGCAATCAGAAACCGAATATAAATTATAATAATTATTATTATACTACAATACAGACAAGCTAGTAATATATAGTAAACTAGAGCAAAAACGTTAGAGACTAGTTTTTAAATACTGTTACAATCGGCTCGAATGGAAGATGACCATGAGGGCTTGGATCATCGACCCAGTTCAACCTAATTTACTTTTTATTCAAAACTACTTCGTCGACGCTACCCGCGTTTGTTATATTATCTATATACAAATTCATATTACGTGTACAATCGTATTTCTACCATTCTCAAAAACGCTGATTACTCAGTCTTCGTTTATCTTTAAAAATACATGTCCCTATGACCCACATAATTCGGTAAAATACGATTGAGAACGTTTTACCTTTTTGGCCGAACGATTGAGAACACTTAAAATTCACAAAGAACTTACCGCTGACTCACAAAACCAATACGATTGAGAACGAATTTACGTGCAACAATGCCATATCGTTTATTTGGCTATCAAACATTTCAGCACATTATATCGACTGCCCCAACGAAAAGGGTCGTATCTCTTTTTTTGCAACTTTTCAGGATGAACCAAACAAACATTTAAATTTAAATTCTTATTCTGTTTTTCAAACTAGAATTTTTTCTTTTTCTTTTATTGGAAATTCTTTTTTTTACACATTTCTACTGTAGCCATTTTCAAAACCGTTTTTGATTAAGTTTCGATTAGAACTTTAATAACAACACACATTGCTGGACGAATGCTGTAACTGTTACAATTGGCTTGAATGTAAGATGACCATGAGGGCTATTGACTATTGAATGTTCTGTAAAAGCTTTCAGCGACGTTAGTAGTCCTATGGAATGTTATTAATTGTAATTAGTGATTTATATTATGTATTAATTTATTACGAAAATTACCTAGGATATTATCAAATAATATCAACAAATTTCCGTCCAATTCCATATCTTAATGTATTTGTTGATAAATATCAACAAATTATCGTGTTCAACCGTTCGATAACAGTTGTTAAATATGGCAAAGTTGGAAAAAAATAAAATCTATCGAGCGTTCTCAATAGTAACACTAAAAATGCTATTCTCAATCGTTCGATAGCCACACCTAAAAGAAGGTCTGTCTAGACATACTTTGAGCACCACATTGTATAGTACCTATTTAAAAATGTATCAGATACACTAAAATTGACAAATCAACTTGTGCCATCCTACCACAGGTCTATTGTATTGGATGTATTAAACACGTGTGTATATTATGTAATGAATAGCGACGAATGACTCATTTGTTATTGTACAGAAGTTTTCAAACGTGAACCGCAATAATACGTTTGATATTTTATATTCGTTGATTTTTCGCACATTTAGTTCTTGTATCAATGTATCACACACATATTATATTGTAGTAAAGCAAAATAAATAACCTGTTTTGACGGATGTATTAATAATCACAATGATCATTTTCGTATTATATCCTTTGTTAAACTAGACCCAGCGAAAACTCATATTGTCTGTACTAAGATTATATGTTATACCTACCTTTGAATATCACTGGTTAGGGTAAGTTAGGTTAGGTTGCCATTACCCACTGCATATATGTACTTCATTATAAATCATATTATAATTAGTTATTGAACACAAATAGTATAGCAAAATATTTCTTTTAAAAACCAAAAGTAGAAGAATTCACACCTTCTCCTTCAAAATCAAGAAAAATCATTTTAAGAATTTTTTATTTATAAATTTAACACTACAATCAAGAAATTCCAAAAAATGGCATCAGCTTCTTCGTAGAAGTGTAACTTCAGTGGAATATATCTCTTTGGGTTTCGCCTATTTCTTTCAACTACAAAATTATTTGTGAGTATTTTAAGGGGTTTTTATTTTGCGAACTGCCAATCGCATCATTTCTTGATCTGTTTTGCAACTGACCGACTTTGTATACTCACTCTATATGACCATTCGAATGTATAAAATGAAACGCCGGTGCTTGTGCTTACGGTGCAATAATCTCGAGGCACACGAGGCGCAATTCACACTTTCTATCTCTCATTGGAAATGCCACCTTGTGATATAATAGAAGCTCATTGTCCAGCGTCTCAGTTTCTCGTTCTATTTCCCCATTTTGGATCAAACATTAACGAACGACGCAATCGCAGGTAAGACTTTTTAATCATACGCCAGTCAATTCAAATCTATATTTTTATGCGTCATTTATTTTTAACTTACACAAACATTGATATGAGCAAAGCAACGCCAAAATATATTAAAAATACATACGTTTTGTATGAAATAATCTAATTTTAATTGTATTGATTTGTAATAAAATGCTAATTAATAACATTAAAATAATGCACATTGCATCGTGTGTAGCTATGTTTAACTTACTACTTTATGTTTTATTCATAAAACTATTAAAATGATAAAACTCAATTGAGTTGTGTAAAAAAATATTTATAATTGGCCGGATTCTAGTCGGAAAGAAATCATTCCGGCTGTATAATTTCTTTAGCACGTTAAAATCGCCTCTTAAGCTGTAAAAACAAAAAATTTTGGTATTTTCAGCTTACTTTGTACGTTTTAAAAATATTCTACATTCTATTTTAAATAAAGTTTTATTTTATTTTCATTGATAAGTTCAGAATATATGTAGAGTTTTTAACTTTGTTTTTGTAACATAAAAGAAAAAAAAGTCTGACTTTTAATTATTTACAACATTAAATAACAAATTTAAGTATTTTATTTCATTGTTCCGCAATCGTGTTGTATAGTGTAATTTGAAAATTATGGTGTTATAGACTTTTATCGTCTTGGACATTTTGAATATTGGACACATAAAATTGTAAATATATTTCTGCTGCTGTTATATTATTTTCAGACATTTTAGATAGTAGACCATTTAAAAAAGAACATTATAACGGATCATTTGTCATGATTGTCATTTGTCATTTGTCATCTTATTGATAAAGTACTATTACAAAGTATTAGAAGTTAAAAAAATTAGCGCACCGGTGTAACGTCCTAATTTTGGTTCTGGGATGTAATCACTTAATGTATATTATAAACGTAATTAATGTTAGACAAAAACAAAGACTTAAATTATATATATATATATTTTTTTAAATAATATGATCTAAGGGGTATTATATTATATTTTTTAAAACATTTATTGATATAATGTTTGTTTGTTTTCTACGCGGAAATGGTGTTTTTGCGCTCGTTAAGACATGCATTGGTGGTTATTGACGTTTGACCTCTTAGATCTACTATAGGGTAACTGCTACCAATCGAGAGTGAAAGGAGTTTACGTTTAAGTAAACTCGCATGGACTGATTACGTCGATAACACTTGAAAATTAATTGTCAAGAATCGGCGAAAGTGTGCATATGAGTTACTGAAAGGTATAATGTTGTTGAACATGTTAATATTTGGCAAAATTTATATCTTCTAACATATTCAAGACCGACAGAGAATATAATATCTTAAATGCTATCAATTTTCAAAGATGTCTTGGGTACTTTTCTTCATTACAGTAATGATTACTGCGTAGATTTTTAGTATACATAATATTATCATTTAATTTTTGTCAACGATTAAATCAACCATAAACATATTATAGTTAATAAAACGAAAGTTTTAATTTTAGAAATATTCATGTGATCTCGCGTTAGGTTCTCTCACAGAATTATAATTAAAAATATTTTAATATCCTGTAACAATTAAAAAAATATTCAAATAAAATACTGATAATATTTTTTCGATAACCATAAAACTAATTTTTGATTGATGTTAGTTGAATTACACGAAATCACAATTTTTTTATATTAACATACTTATTGCTTAAATTTATTATTGTGAATAGGTATAGGCAACACAAATAGCTCTGCTGTCTATATTATTTTCTATAAGTATTCTTAGGCAATTAAAAGAAAAAAGGTATTACAACAATAATAATTATTAATTAATAAACAAAATTGTATGCTATAACTTAAGAACTGACTTCGTCGTTTTAATACTTAATTCAATATGTACATATATTTTTGTTTTTATGAGTTAATTAGATACAAATAATAATAACAAATCGTAATAAAAAACGAATTAAGTTATTAAACATTGACGGGTATATGAAAATACATCGGAAAAGCGGGGTCAATCTCAATTTTCAAAAAAAATTAATTAGATGATTACTTGCAAACTAAAATACTAATTATACATTAAAAAAAAAAAAGACATTTCATGGACAATAATAAAAAAGCGATGAAGATTTTCGTAAAAAAGAGCCTTATAAAAACTTCAATGGTCATTTTCCAAAATTTCTAAAAGTAACATATTGACAGTTTTTAGACTTATTGGTATTAGAACTTTTTGTGATTCAGTTGTTATATAAAAGTTATACTATGTGGGTTTTTACACCAATATAGTGTTTACACCAATATATCTTATCACTCAGGATATTGTTTATAAAATGGATGATTGTAACAAAAATCCAATACTGTAATAAAACAATAAATAATACTAATGGTACACAACTTCTGATTTGATTGACAAAAGCGCGTCGATCGTTTTCGCTTTTGAAACGATTCTGCAGATTGTCAAATGTAAGATTTCATAAGTGTGCTCATTTTATAAATCATCTAAAACATTTAAAAAATACTTTTAACAACAATATTTTGAATACATTTTTTTTATTAACATGTAGAGGATAAAAAATAGGATACAAAATAGCACAATAACTATACTATAAATTATAATTTTTGTTCTATTGTAATAGTAACTGAAAATGAGAAGCAATAAATGATGTGTCTTAAATATACAAATTCAATCGAAGAATCAAAATGAAGTGGGTTTTTTTCTTAGGGTTAATAATATTATGTATATAATTAATACTTATTAATAATAATAAGTTTTAGGAAGATTCGAAATATTAGTGGATATTGTTGTGTACATTTAACCGGTCCCATAATTTCAATGATATTTGATATTTTATTAAAACAACAAATACCAAAAAACAAATAAACCGACACCTATGTCAAGAGTATGTGATAAACCGAAAAAAGAGGTGGATGGATGCGATTGAGAATGGTATAAAGACTGCTGGAGTGTGCGAGAACATATCGATCGCGTCAAGTGGAAGTTCAAGACAAAGGTGGCCGAACTAAAGTAATAGTTGGAATAAAAGCGAAAGAGAAGAAAAGAAGTAGTAATTTATTATTCTACTAGCTACGGTAGTTTAAAAAAATATATTCAAACAAATTTTAGTAAAAACGTGTAGGCCAATGCGAAATTGTTATAGAAAATAAATGTTGACACCGTCAAAAAGAGAAGAACTTTAACAAGGTTTTTTCGTCAGATTTTTTAAAAACTTAATTTCCTTTTTAAATACAAGCACTTTTGCAAAAATTAAAAAAAAATGTCACAACTAAAATATTAATTTATTGTGAATGTTGCGTTAATAATATAAAAAAAACGCCGTTCTCATTATTTTAAATATGTAAAAAAAATTATTTACGGTTAATATTTAGTCAATAATATTATAGAATATGCATAGCCATGTATAGATAAAATGTTTTTTTTCAAAATAGCTGTCAAGGCTGCTGTGATAGTGTAAAAAATAAATGAGCTGCCATAAAAGAGTCCTAATTACTGAACTAAACACAGTTTGACCTTTAAATTAAGATTTAACAAAAATTTGCATATACCTAAATGCTTAATAAATGGGGGTATGGCGTCCTCTTAAGATTATGTTCAGCAAAAAATGTGATTGATTTGTATTCAAATCTTTTTGTTTTTATTCTTTTGCAATGTAATAACTTCGTATAAATTTAGGTCTAGGACAATAATCATAGTATATTTCTTTTACTTTTTTACACTTAACATAGATGTAGTATGCTACTATGTTATTAAAATGGGAATTTTGTCTTAATTATGATAGTGAACTGTTTTTAAACTCTTCTACAAAAACTTAGACGAGTGGGACGTATAGTGAGAAAATAATAAAAACAATGATTGTAGTTTAAAGTGTTTAAATTAATTTGTACGTGTGATCTTCGCGTGAGAACAAGTTGAAATTAAATGTCTTATTTTTTTTAAGGTCGAATAGTTTAAAACATATTTATGGTTTCGCGGGCTGAATAAAAATACGTTTTGTTTTGTTTAACTACAAGCTATTTAAGTTTACATGAATTTATTACCAATGAATAATGCTGAACACATCTTATCAAAAACACATGATCAATTTTACACAGCAGAGTAAAATTATTCGTATTTTTTGGCGAAGTTTGATGGGGTAAAAAGTAATAATAATATTTGTTTGACGTTATGTAAACGTTATGTATATGTATTAGGAAAAAGTATTGAAATATTTGATTTTTAGTTAAAAGCATTATGTAAAATATTTTAAACTGCATTTAAAATATCGTGACGTATATTAGTATACATTATAGAATTTTTCAATGCATTTTTTTGAAAATACATACAATTACTGTGTGGAAAGTGATATAGGACCGTTCTCAAAAATAATTTTGATGACATGATTATGACTGACCAGCACATTATGCGCAAGGAATGAAGCTTATTGTTTATTTGTATGATGGTGGAAGGAACTGGTGAAATAAAGTGTTAAACAAATCTATAAAATATTAGTAACATACAAAAAAATGATTATATTTTATTATGTTACGATAATTTGTATGAATTTAAAAATGACGTACAACATAAAATTTTATATACATTAACAAAAGTGTGCACTCGAAGAAAGGTGGTGACAAATTAATATAGTAATTCATTCAAGTCGTTAATGATTAGACCAAATGCAGTCGAAGATGCGTAACTAAAATTAATATGTCGTGATATGGTTTTCGAGCATTGTGTACTTCATAGGTAGTTTACCTTCGTATGCAGTTATTTGTATACAAAAAACATACACATTTTAATATTATACTCATATTGACAAGACATTATTAGTATACAAATGTATATTATATAATCGTGATGTTAGGCTGATCAGTGGTAATGCGAATCCATAATGATCGTACGGAAATGAAGTATACTTAAGTACGTTTTCTGTACAAATAGAATGCGTTACACACCATCAGTGTCACTCATTGGAAGTGGATCATTCCACCACTGGATCTGTGCTGAAGCAAATATGACGTACACAGAATTTGCTACCAGCACAACACCACCACTGATCCAAAAAACGTTCCGCCACTCCAGCAATGTATTCTGAAAAAATAATGTAATTCATATAGAAGTGAGTAAAAAAAAATTATATTTTAAATTCGTCATATAAAATATTAATATTTGTTTTCTTCAACTATGTAATACGTTTTTCGATTAGATTTAGTTTTTATTTGTTATTAAATTAAATTTTACCAACTCTGCCTGAATTGTATTTTACTTCTATCTATAAATAAAATGGCTAAAATGGAAAATTTGAAATTAACAATACTTGTCTCTAGACAAACGATGTGTGTTTATGTTATTATTGTTCCTGAGATATATTTAACGCAGTGAAAAGAGTAAGACGACGTTATGAGATAGTAATATTTTTGGAAATTTTGTTGTCTATTTAAAAAAGTAGCTTATTAATATTATTTACTATTATTTCAACGCTATATTAGTGTAACATTACATTCGGTATGAGGTATCCGATGAGAGGTGGAGAAATGATGCCGGCTACAGCTCCAACTCCGTTCACCAACGCCATGGCTGGACCCGCGTAATTAGGACTCAAATCCAATACGTTGACTTTCATGCTTGAATAGAAAAAGCCCATGGTGGCCATACCGACTGTGAACAGCATGACAACTCTAAGCTTGTCGCAACCCGCGTACGATGCGGCTAACGTACCCAACATAGGCCCCACACACGCTGAAAAAAAATTAGGTCTCACTCAAAATTATTATTGGGAAACGTGTGTTTAAATGTTTTATTAGCCATCGACTAGTTTAAATTTAAATAAATAAAAAGGTAAGTGTCAGAATATGTAGTTAAAACACCGTCACAGATTTTAAAATATATATTTTGTACTCGGCTTTGTATTTGTATTTTAAAGGGTTATGTTTAGTAGAAACTGGTACTTTTGTTTGTTTCATTTGTACGATTACTATTTTGTGTTAGTATAAACTACATTTTTTATATATCTATTGATAAACATAAAAAAGTATAACACAATGTCATGTATGACACATATCATCTTTGAGATCAGCATTTTATCTAAGACACGATTGACAAATACTATTTTTGTAGCACGTTTAAAATATAATATTAACAATTTAATTAACTGTGAATCAACTGTGTCTGTACCAGCTATCTGACCACGTAACACTAAAGCTGTCGATAATGAAATTTTTAATTTACATTGATTACTGATAATGTTATGAAACATTACATTGTTTTATTATTTTTCATTCGTTATCAGTATAATAATTATCAATGATACGCTGTAAAATGTTTCACAATCGACAGACTTCTCCGATAATTCAACATTTCAAATTAGGAATTCACTGTCTAGGAAGTATTGCTACGTTCGAACGTCATCAAATTAAAATCAAAATATATTCGCAATGCACCTACCGTCCACCGTGTAATGCATAGAAGGAAGTAATACGTAAAATTGTAGATAAGAAAACAAACATTTATCGATAACAACGTGAATAAACTCTAGTATTCCAAGTTTAACAAAACGTATGAACACGATTAATTGCTCGTTGAGCTGATGTGTTCGACAAAAAATATAAAAATAAGTAACACCTGCTGATATCTAGTTTCTGTTTAGTAAGAGGAACTATTAAATCTAGTGTCGACATTTGTTAGGTATTACCGATGGTTGAAAAAAGTCTTCTTTGCTTCAATATTCCAATTTTATTGTTGGTTATCAAATAGTCACTCAACCAGCCAGACAGTATTGCGGTTAACCACATAATAAGATGTGGCATTGAACTCCACACGCCGGTCTACACGGAACACAAATGGTTATAATTTACATAAAAACCAGGAAATCGGAAGGAGTTTTGTATGCCGGTGACGTGGATTTACCTCGGCGATGGAAAACTTCATGACAGACTTCATATACTTTGGTAGGTCGGTGTGTATCATGAAGAGTGCCCAGTCGTGAGCTATCTGACCGATCATCAAACCCCACATAGGACCGGACAACAGCATGGCTCCCCAGGGAGTCGGCTGTACCTTTTCCTGTGATCCAGATCGATAAATAATAACTGTTAATCATCTCCCGGTACTCAGTAGAATATTGTGTTATTCACTAATCGCTTCTTACTTTGTTCCTACTGACTCCTTTCAAATGTCGCTCCAAGTACGTCAGTTCGTAATCGGTGATCGACGGATGTTCGCTCGGTCTGCTGTACACGAAAAAGTTCCAAAACACATACCAGATGAGCGCAATCGAACCGAACGTGTAGAACACTAATGGCCAGTTGTCGTCAGTTACCTTCAGCATGTATCCGGCCGTACTTTGTGCTACGATTGTGCCGATCATATTTCCTAATAACAACACGGAATAATATAGTATAATTGACTAAACTGTAAACGACTAACTGTAACTCGGCACGTTACCTGCGAATACGAAAGACCCTATGGTCGATCGTTCGTTAATTGGTACCCACTGTGCCAACAACGTGTTCATTGCTGGTATCGTTGGGCCCTGTTTAAGACAAAAAGTAATAATCAGCAATAAAAACCAAAAACTACCAAGCAAGCTTGCTCACGATAAACGTATTCAATTTGGATATTGGGTACAATTTTAGACCATCAAAACACTAAGTAAAACTAAATACTTAAAATAGAATACACGTGTGGTTTAACCCGTACAAGCTTAACCTGAATAAACTGTTTATTTATGTATACTTCGTCTTATCTAACTAATTACATTGTTTAATTCAAATTTGAAATATTAATTAAGGTCAACACAAGAGTTCATCCGATTAACTATTAAAGAATCGAATTAAATACTTTTTTTAATAATGATAATACATTTACTCGTATGTAAACGTAGGTACTATCTAATAGAAGTTATACATATGTGTAGGTCTGTAATTGACGGTCTAACGTTCTTACAAGCGGTCGATATTTAAATTATGTTAATACGCATTTGTTTTTTAGGTGTGTTAAGTATTGAGCAATATTTATTTTACTTAACCAGTTTAAATTAACCTAACAATTAATTTGGCGTTTAAAGACTTCATTTGCGTAAACTTAACTACGAAAAAAAATAATCGTCATAAATGGATTTGTTCATAATTGAAAATTCAACATTTACTTATGATTTATATAAACATTGAAACTATTTTTTAAAAATATATATTTCGAGCGCTCTTTTAAACTAGTACAAAAAAACTTTTTGGATTTTTTTTTGTGGAAGACGATAGTAAAAATATACTTTTAAACACAATTTTTAATTAAATAATACAAATTAATTATCAAATAAATCATAAATATTGAATAATTAAATCACTCGTAGATAAAAGTTAATTTTATCATGAATAAATGTATAAGCAAATAACAGAATAAAAGTGAATTGTTTATTTGTTAATTTATTTCATTAAAAATATACCCACAAATAACGTTCAATTTTGGGTTGCATGCAATTTTTTTTTATTACAGAATATTATTATTATCTAAATTTAAGGATCTGCTTTTAAATAACTGATTCGTATTAAGGTTATTATGCCACGTTTACATGTTGACGTTAACGCACATTAAGGATGTGCAAATTAATTGGCATTAAGATTATTCGTATTTAACGTGAATTTTAAATCACTTTATTACTCGATTAGTTCGCATTAATAATGTGCAACGACTGTAGGTAACAATGACTTTATGGTGTTAATTGTTTTGGCTTGTATTAAATTTTATTAAATTAACTGTGTTTATATTTTTGTTTTGTACTTGTTAAAATGCAATAAAAAATAGTATAATATTGTTTATGAAATGCATGTAAAAACTAAATTATTTACTATTTGGTGTACAGGCTACATTCGAAGTTAAAAACTCCTAGTATAGACGGCTGTTAATACAGTTTAGTTGATAACGGTTTGGCTTAAACCGAATAAGTAAATCCACATTTGAAATTCAAATTAAGAATAACTTCAAGAGTAAAAAAAAACATGTAAATGGTTAATACGAAGTAGATATCAAATTATATTTATGTTGTCATAGAAAGAGATGTTGCTTATGATAAGGCAATTGATAATATATTATTAATGTCATATCAATTTAATGTTTGATTTTTTTATGATATTATAATTGTTAAAATTATTTTAAACTACAAACTGTATTTATTTTGTTATTTTTTTTATTATTTAATTGTATTACATTTTTTACATAATATGCATTTTTGTAACTAAAATAATTAATAACTTATCATTAAAGGACGATGACTTCTATTATTATACCGTAAATGTTAATTACAGTGTATTTGAATAATGTGTCCATGAATGCCCGTAGAAATACTATTGAAATTTAAAACCCATACAAACATTATTCGAATTATTAGGCAACTGTTTTTCTAATATACCACGCTAAAATTAAAGTATAATAAATTACTACTAGGAGAAACAGTTTCATATTTTGACAATGTATTAGTATATTAGTATAGTATTCTAATACCGTCCTACTTACTTACTGTAGTTGTACATTTTGTATTGGGCTATAAATGAAATCCCATCAGTATTATGATACTGGTTATTACAATACTATATTATAATACTGTTTACTCAGTGATATTTAAAAATTATACAACTTATTCAGTCAAAATAATTTTTTATCTAAGGGTTCATGGGTCTTGTTTATTAAAATATCGAACTACGGAAAAGTCTACTATGTGCATTGTGTAAAATATACGTGGTTTATCGATTTCCTTGCATTAGACGGGTCATGTGATTAGGTACTTGTAATACGTAATAACAAAACGTATGAAATATGAACTACTGTTGTATTAGGTGCATGTAGGTTAGATAAACTAAGCCATCTGCTTATGATTCAGCTAAAATTTCTCGAGTCGGTCCAAAATACACAATAAATCCGGTCATCTTTGTCTTGCGTTACAAAAACAAAGGTTGGCTAAATTAACTGTATTTTGTATTACCGACACTAAATTCAATAATAAAGAAAAACAATTAGCGATTGAAACAATGGAATGTATGTAACTATGTACAAAAGTATTGTCTAATTTTCATAATGATAAATGTATTTTAGATGCGATTCGAGCTCACAGAAGGTATCTATTAACTATGGAATGACGCATTTTTATAAAACTATCCAGTTCAATAAAACATTGAAAATTGTACACTCACCTCCCCTAGTCCTTCTAGTACTCTGACGATAATCAAGTAAACGGGTCCCGCCCTAGCAGCCATCGGAGTCAGTAGGGTAAGCACGGAAGTCAAAAACATGCCCACTCCAAAAACGTGCTTGCCGCCATACTTTTGAGCTAAAATTCCAGCAGGTATCTGAGCCAGGACGTATCCATAGTAAAACGACCCAAGTATATGTCCCTGTAGTTTCTCGGACCAATCGAATTCAGCATTCTAGAACGTATTAATAATAATAAATATGACATGAGACACACTAAATTATTTAAAAAAATAAAATATAGTGTTTTGTGAATCGTTAACATGTGTCAAGTGACACATCCTGATGTGTTTTCATATCCTTTTTATGAATTGCATTGAAGCGTCGTCTCGGTCGCTTCAACCATACTATAACATGCACGCCGAGTATATCATATAATAATAAAATGTGACCGACTAATTCAATCATCTCACCAAAGTAATTTACATTTAGAAAATATATATTTGAATACAATTTCAATTGTAATAACCGTCGTATGTACAACTCGGTTCCCACGGAATGACTATTGACATCTTGACACTTTGCCGCGATCAAGGACAAACTAGAATAGTATTAGCGCTGTTTTCTGTCATATAAATCACATTAAAAAAGCCCAGGAGTTATTGCAATAACCTACTGGGTTTGTCATGTTCTTTAAGACGGCAGGCCCAGGACATCCGTTTGGATCTAATGTTGTTTTGTGTATGTCGACTACCATTTCCGTTATGGCCAGGCTGAGCACCGATCGCATTGCATACGCATTGGCTATTCCTATGAAACCCAACACGGCCATCGTGTATCTTTTAGTGCGAACACCTAAAAAAAAAAGACACACAAAGTGTAAACGTTTTGTGCCTTTATTCTGTAAGAACTTTTTTTTTAATATTACTAATACCTTTCATCAAAATCGACACGGCCTCCGAGGGTCTTCTATTGAGATTGTTCGGAGGTTCCATCGTTGGTGATGTGCTATTTTCCACCATTACAATTAAATTGTCTCAGATTATAATTTAATTATATTGTCAACGAGCAAAATTCAAATATATGTTGTATACAAACCTAAATCGTAAAAATGCAAAAAAATGGAAAAATCTATAATATTAAGGGAAATTAAAATATATTTTTTGGAAGAGGCTAAGCTATTCTTAAGTCTCTACATAATATAGCTGTACCCCAGAAATCGTTTACATACTTTATTGAGATTTGCTTGGTTTGAACCAATCACTTGATGGATAATTTTACTTTTTCTCTGTTTTATCGTCCTAATAACATGATGGGCGTTCTCAATGGAATGTTTCTAAAAATAAAATATTTACATACGTTTATAAATAATATATTAATTATACAAACGTGTAGTATAGTTACAGTAAATACTATTTCGAGCATGAAACGATGTATGAAACGCACCTATGAATACTAATTGATTCGTCCGACCTCATCAGTTCAAACAATGACAACCGTAGGTCATATATATAGGACGGGAATATGCATTGTTTTTTATGTATTACACACTATCTTGTGACACAATCACACCACTCACATAAAGTTCCGAAATTAAGAAATATAGTTAAAAAATGTTGTAGAATTATCTTTTACCTAATACAGTTGTAATAAAAGTATAATTCTAATCCTAGAAGAATTAAAATTTATTTTATGATTCAGCAAGATAAAGTAAAAAAAAAAAAATTAATACAAATAAAAGCTAAAATACACAAAGCTCGCCAAATCGAAAGGAATTTATCTCTAATTATCAAATACAGGGTGATCCATCTGATGTAAGACACTCTTTTTCTCAGAAAATATTAATATTTTGAAAATTGTTTTTTTTCTATACTTGTAGATACATATTTTATTATATTTTTCAATACTTTGAATATTTTGATCTTCATCCCTTATACGTAAAACAAGTATGGGCCTAGATTTTTTTGCAAATAGGAAGATCTGTTTTCAATCTCATAAATATGTAGATAACAAATTTTAAAAAATGTAATCGTTTAAATTATCATTAATCTGTTGGTTTGCTATGACTTTGGCAAAGAGATTACATTTCTCCTAAGAACTTGTTTCGGGTTTCCAAAATTCAGTAGCCCATAAAATTTAAAGACCTGAAGTCACAATAAGACAACATTTAAACTAAACAAACTAAAATTTAAAAACATGAAAACCATATCCATACTATTAATATATTATTTTATCTCCATATATTTTATTCTCTACATTTATCTGATTGTACTGCTTGTCTTTTTTTTTACACATTTACCTTCACTTACTTTTATTTAAAGCAAAACCACTTTCACACACTATACTGTACTGTAAAATGTATTCTTTATTATTCTTTTTATTGGTATTATCTGTTTTGTTAGTATACGACTTATTCGTATCGATGTCAGGGGAATTACTTAGGTTCTGCAATTACAGAGTCACGCAGTATTATAAAATGTTAATTAAGCTTAATAATTTCTATCTGTTTACTTTAGTTCAGAAATGCTAGATAACAAGTTCAATGTTAATAATTATTAATTTATATACCTTTTATCTATACTATGTATACAAACACTGACTGTGCGTTAGTATTTGATAGTGTTAAAAGGACGTTATACCCCATTTATTAAGGAGCTAGGTATAGGATATTTTTAGCAAAATCTTAATTTAAAGTTTGAACTGTTATGTTTGATTATTAATTCATAATTAGGACTCTTTTTTTTTTATAGTTATTTCATTTTTCGGACTATCACGTATCGTTGACAACGATTTAAAAATTACTTTTCATCTAAACATACACAGCTACGCAGAATGCGTTTTACTCGGGCCATAACGGTTTTAGAGCAAAAACACTTATTATAAAATCTAAATACTATAATATATAAACAAAATTCAATCAATATATTTACAGTAAATATTAGCAGTATAAAAAAACAATTTGAAGAACCATGTATTATTCTTGATAGTGTAGAAACCAAATTTGAAGTTATTGTTTTACCTAAAGCTTGGTTAGGTTTAGAAAATATATCGAATAATACCTTCTTAATGAATGGCTATGCCTATAAATGTACATTCTACTTTCTACTAGATCACTACCCAACTATGCTTAGTGTAGGTAATAATACATTAGATAACAACAAACCAAATCCCTTAAAAATATAATATAACTATGTACCTACGTATAAATGGTGCAAAGTGCAAACAGCCATCTAAGTTGGTAGTTAATTGCGAAAAACCTAAATTTTGATTGTTTGAAAGATTAAAATACAGGTGTATCATAGAGAATGGTGGGGTTTCAAACGGCTGTAGGTTGTGAAGTATTGGACCTACAGCGTTCTGATAGGGCTTGAATGAAAGAAGGAGTTGTCAAATTTTGAATGATTGCCACTAGATGTCTCTGACACTAGAAGTTTCATAGTCGTAACTGAATTACGCTTCGATCACTTCTTTTGTGAGGACGCTATCTTTACAAACTCAACAATGAAGGCTGGCGACATAAACGGGAACGTAGAGACCCCACCATGCTTTATGATACACCCTGTACATTGAATACCCGAAGGAAAGGTTTTGGTTGTGTTTGTTGGTTAAAATGAAAGAAGCGACCTTAAGTAATTGTATAATAATGGTTTGCGATCACCTACCCGGATAAATGTCGTAACTATAATAAATAATATTTTAGTGTGGCCTTGACGACGTTGAGGTAAACCGATAACCTCGTCAACAAGTTGCGTCAATTATTTTACACGACTATAAGTTCGATTATAACTATTTAATTTTCAGTAGTCAACCTAATAAATTAAGTTATTTAAAATAAAAATAAAAATTAGAATATTCCAAAAGGTGTTATAGAAACGTTTTCAGAATAAACTAGTAGCGGTAGCGTATATTTTCACGAGATTAAAGTAAGTTGTGACAATAGTCTAATTTGTGAATTAGATGCGCTTTTCAATAATGTCAAATGTATTGTTATGGAAATATAAAAGTAACAATTAGTTTCGGTTTTAAAACTCATTGGTTTTCGACATTATTCAGATTAAGCAAGATCACATAGTAATTATCTGACTTCTGTAGATCACAATGTCCACGTGTAAGCTTTGCCGTCAGTTGAGGAAAAAATTTAAATAAATAATTCCATTTTTATTTAAGTACACCGTATAATTTATTTAATATTTCAAGCATAACACTATAATCAAACAACTTTTTCGGTAAACGAAGAGCTTCAGTCAAACATAACGAACCGTAACAGTAGTAAGTACGAGTAGTAACCACAAGTCATATAAAGTTGTTCGTACCGCTTTAATGAATTTGTCATCTGTTCACTATGACCAATATAGTTGGTGTAAACATAAACGTGTTAAAAAAGTATGTGTAGTAAACATTTTGAGTACACTTAATTGTTGTTGCTGTTTGAGACACTAAAACCATTAGACATAACTCGCATAACTAGTGATTTGTAACTCATTCTAATTCAAAAGTATTGTTCCTAAGAACAATCCAATTTAAGTTTTAAAAAAATATTTGAATTCTTCATAACATTTTCAAGGTATCGATCATGGCAAAACTTTAAAACTGTTTTTTGTTAACTAATTCTTTTAGTTTCAAAAATGTTTAAATAGCAGTTTTTTACATTGAAATAATTAATTAACTTAAAGTAATTTTTAAATTGTGCCACGATCGATGCGCTTGAGAATGTTATGAAGAATTCAAATGCTTTTTCAAAACTTAAATAGGAGTATTTTTAGTTACGATCTGTTCGAAGTAAAAACAAATGTTTCTGTGAAAAAATAGATCCAACATGCGTTACATAAGTTGAAAAAAAATAAATATCAAAATAGATCCTTCTTTCCTATGGTATTATGTACGTTTAAACATTTTAGCATATTATGATAAGTTTTAGTGAAAATTTGCCCATACAATGCGCTTTAATAAATGCTAGTGTAGAGGCAATCAAATTAGGGAGTAGGGAATATTAATATCTAAAATATCTATAGCTAAAGCTGATATATTCTGATAATTATTGAGTCATTTTTTTTATATTATTTGGTTGTGCAAAACAATAAAACAATTGACATGATAACACGTCGTTTTAAACCCATTAGTCACATACCTACTCAATTTTAGAGCTCAACATATTTTCCTATAAGAATTATTTGTTCTGAAAAATTAAAAGTATGTGTAATAAAAAATTATAACTAGCAAAAGCGATTTTTGGTGAAATTAGGAAAATTTTACTTTTAATACAAATGTTGGACAAATTTATTAAAATTGGAAAAACCAAAATATAATTATATTTTTTTAGAAAAAAAAGAAAGTAGGTTGGTGGTTTAAAAAAAAAATGTGCTCCCAAATTCTTAGATAAACTAATAACGTATATCAACTTACAATAAAATTAACTATGATTCAACTAAATTTGTTATTTTATGTTTAATCAAACGATGGTGAAAATTTAGGCTATATTAAAGTGTTATGATGGTGAGAAAGGGCCATTAATGAGTTATAAAAGCAAGAATTCGGAACCGTGTTTAATACGCCACTTAACAAAACTGAACACTTTAAAACAAATGTTCAGCCTCCATCTTAGAGCCTAAATTGTCATATATTTTTAAACCTTGAAACGAATTACCATCCGAGACAGACACACAAGTCTTGTTTGTATATCCTCTGTACTAATCATTATTAATAATTATTGTTTAACGAAACAACGCAATTGTAAGTATTGTATAATATAGTAAACGTTCATTCAAAGGCGGCGGCTATTGCACGGTGGGCGTTAAGCAACAAGTAACTTGATGGGACGAGACGAAAACTACTGTTTATTAATAACTATTTCGCATTGCAATGCACAATGCACCTATTTACTATAATATACAAATATTTTATTACAGGCATCATAATAATAATCTTCATTTGCGTCAGACAGAAACCGTTAAATAAATTTGTATTTATTGTTTTTTTAAATGTTGGCCGGGTCTGATTATAACTACTCATAATGATAATACTCATAACTCATAACTGCTAGACGTGATGATATATAGTAGTGAAAGTCAGTCATCCCATTGCGAAAAAATTATATTATAAAAATATTAACAACATTGAATTTCAAATAAAGATTTATCATAACAAGTATTATATGTTGTGTATACCGTATTTTGACGAGTAAATATTTTAGCTTCTCAAGGATGTAAAATACATATTTTATTCAATAACGGTATTAAACCAAGGCCCATCATATAAGCGCTGCAAAAGGCCTGTTAGATAATAACTAATGTCTGATAATCAATATTGCTAACACGTATCATTTTAAATAAAAGACGGACAAAATAATAATTCATCAAAGATCAAGACTTAACACTATTTATTCAAATGGAAGGTTCCCTTAAAGATTACACACAGGATACATTAACGAGATACGTTAAGTAGAGGCTGCACATACTCTGGTATCTATTTTCCAATACCAATACATGTAAGTAATTTTTTTTTTATATTATCCACGATACCAAAAATTGCAGTAAAATGTAGTTTTATTATTAGCTCTGCTACAATCATAAAGGTACAGTTTTATATCGTATTAAGATTTTTAAAAATGGTTTTAAAGCATCCTGAGATCCCGAGAAATGCCTACCCAAATTTTTGGCACCTTAATACATGCGCGTTTTGGATGGGTCAGGTATAGGTTTGTTAGATATTGACTCTGCCAACATTTATGTCAACATCTAAATTTGTTGGAGCAAAACTTGCTAACGGTGTCTACCGTTAATGACGTATTCGGTATTACATATTAATTAATATTATACAATGATGACGAAGTATAAGTTTTTGATAATAAAACACTTTACAAAGAAAACAAGAACAAGAAACAAATTTCCACATTACACCGATAAACTAGATCGTGAACTTTGTTTCCAATCGACATTTTATAACGGTACGGATTTCTTTACTAGGTCAAAACATTATACAACATATTCGACAGGGTTCAAGTTCAATACAATTATTATTTACTACCACGTACTTAATAATATTGTAAACATAATATAGGACATATTATATCTATAGTTACAACTGTAACATCCATCGGTATGCATTATGCATACATACATATTTATTAGGTACAACAGAAGAAAAAATTGAATGTCATGCATATTTTAATTTTATTTTAAACGTTTTAGGGCAAACAAAAGATAAATATAATATTTGAGGCTATTGGCATTCGTGTTAAGAATGACATCGAAAAAACATGAAACTAATATTGTTAAAACATTAATTTATATACATTTATTACAGTGTTTTCAATAAAACGTTTGTTCACGATGGTCGAATTATAATAAAGCCACAAAGGTAAACCTTCCGAGGTGTTTTCAATAACCTTCTATAAATAGGATGAACCGCTAAATTGCAATTTTTTAAAACAATACAAGGCGTACAATTTAATTGTTGCAATTCGATAAGCTAAAATTGCGCGTATAGGATGTATACTCTGCATAGTTAGTCGGTATCTGTAATTAGATATTTAAGTAATTGTTCTCAAACATCTAACATTAAAAATAACAATTCTAAAATGTAAATAACAAATAGTTATTATGATTTATATTATTATTGTAATTACAAATATAATATTATCTATTTGTTTTATAGTATTATTAAAAATGTAGCTATTTACTAATTTGATGCGTGTAAAAAATGTATGTTACGCTTTATGTTTGTACCTACAAAATAAAAAACAATAATTTTTTATGTTACAATTTTACATTATAAATTATCCCAATAATATTATAGTAGTTTTATTATAATTATGCTTGAGAACAAAAAAATGTATTTTTATTCAATGCAAATTCATGTTCGCAAACAAACCATTTTATTTTATTTGTGTTTTATGTATGTGACTAAACACACATCATATTGTTTTTTGTAAAATTATGCTTAAAGATGATAGTCAAATTAAACCATCTATGTATATATTCTAATTTCTGTTACGCTAAATTAAAAACAGTATGTTATCTGTTTCTTTCTACCAACTCTTATGTACAGTTGCATTCTTAACTACCTAAAATATGTTATTATATTATATACATTTAACTTGTGTTGATAATATCAAAATATCTATGCACTATGTATAATTTACCTTACAAATTTAAGCTACTGTCTCTCTTTATTACTCGAAATGCATTCTAAATTATTAGAATACCAACAGTAGTTGTGTTTAACAATATATTATAGCTCAATCAATTTAATTATACTAAATAGTTAAGTTACGTCAAAATGTAATAATAATACAATGTCAATAATAATAAAGAGGATTACTATTACTTAATAAATTGAAATAAATATAGCTTTCTATACTAATATCCCCTGCGGGTGGGTGTTAGAATACACCTGCGGTAGTCCATTCCAGTCGTAAAAGGCGACCAAAATGGACCAAATCACGGGCAGCAGCGTTGTTTGTATCAAGTATAGATTTATCTATACTTGAATAGCACTTTATAGAAATAAGAGGTGCTACTGCGATGAAGAAGGCAAGGGGAAACCACTGCATTACCATTCCCAACGCACAACCATGATACGCTCTTCTAGTAATACAAAAAGTACTAATTATGAACCTAGAGAAACAAATCTGAGGAATATGAAGAAGCTATTAGCTCTAGCAAGTTATGAAGAAATAAAAAGACTAGCAGATAAAAGAGAAAATTGGTTGAAGCGACAAGGCGAAGCCTTTAGACAATAAAAAAAAAAATACTAATATAGGTTTTTAATAACTTCGATAATATTTATTAGTTTTGATTGTTATTATCGACTTACTTTTATTTTCTATAGATAGAAATTTCATATAGTTTAGTTTCATATTGTTTATCATGTTATACTTTAATAAATAATTTCTCACTCATATGTACTTTAAAATATGTGTAATGCTTTATTTTTTTTTAAAGTCTATAATAGAATAGGTAAATAAGTAGGTAACTCAGTAAATGTTAATAATAATATAGTATTTTATTTTTAGATATTATAATTTAATCAAATTTGTTCTACATAATACAGAAACAAATGGAGAGTGGGTAGGGTAATAATCAATAACTATTAAATATCGTGTCAAAATAATGAAAACAATTTTTTCAATTTTAGTCACCATAAAAAAAGAAAATAATAAGACATTCGGAATTTAAGTGTGTATTTTACCTGCCAATTAGGTGAAAAGTGGGACTAGCTATTAACAAAATATGCAATACAACAACGACCGATGGACTTACCGAATAGAAAAGCCAGCTGAAAATTGTCTAACCCCGTCGTTTGATTGGCCGTTTAAGCGGCGACCGATTCGTCATAAACTCACCGCACACACAACTTCTTACTTGATTGACAGCACCCAGACTACATGGCGTTAATGCGTCGCTACGTGGTCGAGACAAACCGTTTCCACCACTCGTTCGAGCATGTTTAAATTACAGCCATTAACGACTAATTATATTATTGGCTTTCTCAGACACCGTGCGATTGCCCACGGTAAATGCATATAAGAATATTATAAAAAAATAATCTATTAAAAAACAATTTCGTATTTAAATATTTATTATTGAAATACTATCATTTGTTCTATTCGTTTTATATTATAAATTTAACTAATCTCTTATGTTAAAAACTATAATTTTGTCAAGAGATTAAATTAGGTATTGACAATTAAAAAAAAAAAACGGTTAAAACTTTAGCTAGTACATAAAAAAAAGTGCTTTTCTCACAAATTATACACCTGTGTATATTTTTTATTTATGATGAATTAGAATATATTGTTAAAATAAGGGCATCATTCATATGAGTATTAAAATGTTGAATTTATATATTATAGGTAAAATAACCACGACAATATTTAATTAATTATACTTTGAATTTTTCTACCTTGGGTAGGAGTTTATTTAAAAAAACTATTACAAAATTATTATTGTAAGATATGTGCGGTATACAATTATTTAATACTTGTCAACTTTGTTAAATTGTGTTACCAGGGATTGTTTTTATTTGCTGGCTCTAATAATTTCAACTCTTTTAACAAATAAACGACCGAAACAAACTATCTATTTATACATTAATTATGATTCTTTTGTGTTAAAATTTCATAAACTTTTATGTTTTGTAAATTAATATTGGTCTACGCTGTAATCAATTGCCGCGTTATAACGGAATGCAGCCCGATGAGTATTCAACGCAACATTTGTTTGTCTTCGTGCACGATTATTCAAATTCATTGTCACGCGATTGGTTTCAAAATTAAAATGGGAGACTAAAATGGAAGACTTAAATGGGCAACTATGTAAACTATGAAATGTGAAACTGTGTCTTTTTTGACCAGAAACTATGAATAAATATGATCAACTGTCAAACTATCCATGGAATAATGGAATAAATTGTTCATGGAATAAACTTTCACTAAAATTTTTAATTTTAAAATTTCCAATTTTTCTTTCGTAAAAAGCTTATTCGGACTATTACGAACAAAAAAAAATGAGCCAAATCGGTTCAGCCGTTCTCAAGTGATGCGATCACCAACGAACAGCATTTCGTTTTATACTATTTATGATATATTATATAGATAACTTCCAAGTTACAGGTAATAATAGGCATATTAGTTTTTAATCATATTTTAATTAAATTTCACATGTTTATTTACAGTTATCACTGTTCGTGTGTACTAAAAAGTGTATTTTCTTTTAAAGTCATTTTTTAATTTATTATTTTACTAAAATCAAAGATACATTTTTACTATTTATAATTTTTTTATTATTTTAAAGATCATAATATATACCTAATCCAAATCTGGTGCCGTGTGTCATTTCAAATTGTTGCAGTGTTTTTGCCAATATCATTCTTAGCAAGTTTACCTAGTAAAAAAAACACGTTAGGTATTGTAAAATTAATTTTATAATTTTCTGTACTAAAAATAATAGTTATTAATTGTAAAGATCGTTACATATCTATACGTAGCGTTGTTTTTTATTGACAATAAACAATCCCAAAACATATTATGTAAAAGGTGATTTAAACATAATTTAAATTACATCCATTTTGCTTTATTAAAACAAATATTATGGCCAGAGTGTTAGAAGAAGCAGCAAAGACAATAGATCTTGAAATAAATACTGAAAAGACAAAGATAATGGAACTTATTGAGAGCGGAGAGGACCCCAATGAGATGGAGGACTTAACCTATGAAAAAGTTAGCTATTTTAAATATTTGGGAGCAACGTTAAGCACAAAGAATGACTGGTCAAAGGAAATAAGTATTCGGATAAAAAAGCCCAAAAAGCGTTCTACGCTCTGATAAAATGTTTAACATCCAAAATTATGTCTAGGAAAATGAAAGTAAGACTGTATGTGGCTATTATAAGACCGACTCTCACGTATGGTTGCGAAGCTTGGACGACGGCCAAACAAACAGAGAGAAACCTGAGGACTTACGAGAACAGAGTGTGGAGGAAAGTATGTGGACCTATCATCGATAAACAACGGGGAACTGGCGGAGAAGTTATAACAAAGAGCTGTACGATATGTTGGAACTAGCACCAGTAACAAGCTTTATTAAGGGCCAAAGGATACAATGGTTAGGTCACATAATGAGAAGAGGAGAGAACGAAATAGCATTGGAATGGAAACCACAAGGGAAAAGACCTAGAGGAAGTCCTCAGAAAAGATGGATTGGCGTAGTGGAAGAAGATCTAAAAACCCTTTAAGTTAAGGATTGGAGAGAAGCAGTGGATAGATATGTGGCGAAGTGTAGTAATGGCGGCAAAAACTCTTAGAGAGTAGACATGCCAGAGGAAGAAGAAGAAGAAAACAATGATTATGGGCACTGACCATAATATGAAAATTATATTAGTACAAATATTTATTGTAATAATAAACTGTCAATTACCGGCAGATGATTTATTGAATGAACCATCGCCCAAGTTAACTTCTGAAAAAGTAAAATTTGAGTTATATTACTTTTATTAAACTTTTAGTCAATATAAGGATATGTTGTTTGAAACTATATTGCAGCTATATTTCCTGATAGCTAATTCAAACATACTATAGATATAATATACTATATTATAAAGAATGGCTGACTGTAAATAATAAATTGTATTATATATATCTAAGTTCTCTAGTTCTAGTTTGATCTAGTTAATTATTGATTACTTACGAGCTAGTGTGACAATATGGTCAAATGAGAGGACGTATAATGCAATATATATAAAATATAATGTTATATTGAATAATTTCATTCTGCTGTTTTTCTGGAAAAATAAATGTTCCCAAAAGTTTAGTTTAACAAATAGGTATGGTAACTTATTATAGAACAATTATAATTCATTGTCGTTTTTAGCATTCGAACTATGGGAGTATCTCAGTATTGCTACTAATAATATATAGGCAGCTTAAATTAAATGTAATTAAACTAAAAGTATCTACTCTTATTAGTCTAGTACTCGCACTTATTTAGTCGTTGCAACGTTGACTTATTTAGTCAACGTTGCAACATGATACAATGAACACGTCGTGCAAATACTAATAAACTATTATTTACAATTTAAAATTATTACAAATCCTAGAAACATATTACTTTCATTACATAAAATAATGCCTGTGTGGCTCTCGGGTTAGAATAAGGACACGGGCTGTTCCCCCTATCGTAAAAGGCGATTAATAGGAACAGCGAAAGTCTCCCGGGATAAGGAGACACCTCTACAAAGCCAACGGCTTCAGGGGCGGATGAGCTGCGTAGAGTGGGGCAATCTCTTGTCCTCGAGGTAGGAAACTACCTTGAAAAGGCGGATGAACCACATCAGATGGTCAACGACTGGAGGATGCAGAAGGCAACAGGAAAACCACTGCATTAAAGATCCACGGATTTCCTAACCACCATGTAACCAAATAATGAACTCTTTGGTTATAACGACAAGGCCTTGCCTTTAGAAACTGATGATGACATAAAATAATTATTATCAAAAAAATGTCAATAATATTTTAATGTTAATTTATTGATTATAAAATAATAATAAGTTTAGAAAGTGAATTTTAAGAAGTCAGTAACTATTTATTATTAGTTTATTTAATCAATGGAGATTTGTTTATGTTATCTACCAAACACTTTATTATATATTTCTTTTTAATAACGGTTTTTTAAACACAATAAATTATTACTACTAACGGATCATTATTTTTTCTTCTAAATCAAAGTTCGAACTAATGACTTATAATATTATTGTACATACCGTACATGGTAAAGTATATATTATAATGATTCACATTTTTTAAAAAAGTTCTAGTAAATATAAAGTAATTATTTGTAACGAATTCGTAAAAAAAATATTCAAACTTACCTATTCAGCTCGTACCCAGTCAACCACTTGGTGAAGTCGATTATACAAAAGTCAGTTACGAAAGTATATGATATACCTGTACCTGGCAGTTAGTGTTTAGACACTTGTGTGACCCGGTAACGGGAATGATATACTAAAGAACACTTGTTCAATTAAAGGTTTCTTACGCGTTTAGTAGTTTGTTTGAACTATTATGAATTATAATAAATGTCTGGAGTTTTGCTCATCTAAATTCGCTATTCGAATTTAAAATTGAAATTTCATAAAGTAATATTTTAAATTACAGGTTGCCATTTGACTTTTAAAAATTACTCCACAAAATTACCCCATTAAACAATAATTTTAAACCTACTCTTCATACGGTGTATTGTCATTATTTTACTTCTTTATTCCATTGTACTGTATGTTTAAAAACAATTTTTATAAAAAAGATATAATTTCTCTAAGAGAGATAGGTACCATCTTTATTATGAATAATAATGGAAAACTGGCCAGCTCATATAAGTAGCCTAAAAGACCCAACCATCATTCAATTTCAGTAATGTTTTTAGAAGTTTGAACACTGCTGTAAAATTGAAACAGAATAAAGTAAAGCTATGTTGTCAATTAAAATTATTAAAACCAAAAATCACACACTTTTTTTTTATAATATATCAATGGTATGAAATAGTTTTATAAGCTAAGTATAAGGCTGTGTATTCTGCAATTTTTATTCTGCAGTATTAATTAACAGTCTATATGACAATTTATTTTTAAATGATTGAAAGTTTCATTTTTAAGGATTGATAGTAATTTTTGCCATTATTGGATGCTGGTATTAAATTTGAGACTACATGAAGTCATCTTAATAAAATTTCAATCATCTTCTTTAAAAAAAATATTATCCCATTCGTAGAACGATCAATTTACTTTCTACGAGGCGTCATCCTGTCGAACGTAAGGTGTATTTTTGGCAAAAAATCGTTTTGTGTTTGGCTCCCTAAAAAAAATTATTGTTTAAATAACTTATAAAGAAGCCAAAAATTTTAGTTGAAAAACATAGCTGGAAAAAACTTAGGGTTTCTTATATGAATACAAATTTAGGTATCTACCGAGTTTATAATTGTTCATTTTAAATATTTAATATTTCGGATAGTATTATTTTGCTTTCAATTATTAACTCTAGATATTTATTAGAAACTAGATTACAGTAACATGTGGTAAACTTACAATGATATTTAGTAAAAATTGCGCATTTTGAACACCAGACATAACAATATGTAAATATTCATCGAGCAAACATATTTTTATTATTCGTATAATTCCAATTGTATGAACAGCCACAAAATGTGTTTTACCCGTAAATCTTATGAATTCGTCATTTATGTACATACGGTACATAAACAACCTAACCTAACCATAGTGTTTTGGACTTATTTGTATATAAAAATTATGTAAACATAACTAATACATTTATACAACAAACCCACTATCAGCGATAAATACTTTATTTACAATTTGGCGATAAAATTCAAAGGTGCATTCAGGTCGTACTGAGACCAAATTTTTATCGGAAAAACTTGCAAAAGAGGCCCCTTGGAAATTGAATAGGGCACCATTTTTGTAAGTGTAACGTAGCTAGTAGTACACAAAGTGCGTTGCATCATTAACTTCTTGATCATGAAAAAAGTTTATACGGCAATCGAATCACCTTTGTGTAATTTTTAAGTACAGTTTGGAAAAATAGTCTTACAGTATTAATAATATCACTTAGGCATCAATTTTAATGCAAACTATTTATTCAAAAACTATTCATGCAAATTATTTAATCACGAGCTTACAATCATAAGTCTTATCTTAAAGTTGAAAAATTAGTTCGTAATAGTCCGAATAAGCTTTTTCGGAAAGAAAAATTGGAAAAGTTGCCCGTAAAATTGGAAATTTTAAAATTAAAAATCTTAGTGAAAGTTTATTCCAATATATGGCGAAAATATCACAGCTAACAGTTACTCAGCTGACATATGGATAGTTTGACAGTTGATTATATTTATTCATAGTTTCTGGTCAAAAAAGACACAGTTTCACATTTCATAGTTTACATAGTTGCCCATTTAAGTCTTCCATTTTAGTCTCCCATTTTAATTTTGAAACCAATCGCGTGACAATGAATTTGAATAATCGTGCACGAAGACAAACAAATGTTGCGTTGAATACTCATCGGGCTGCATTCCGTTATAACGCGGCAATTGATTACAGCGTAGACCAATATTAATTTACAAAACATAAAAGTTTATGAAATTTTAACACAAAAGAATCATAATTAATGTATAAATAGATAGTTTGTTTCGGTCGTTTATTTGTTAAAAGAGTTGAAATTATTAGAGCCAGCAACAATTAAAATAAAAAATCCCTGGTAACACAATTTAACAAAGGTGACAAGTATTAAATAATTGTACACCACACATATCTTACAATAATAATTTTGTAATCGTTTTTTTAAATAAACACCTACCCAAGGTAGAAAAATTTAAAGTATAATTAATTAAATATTGTCGTGGTTATTTTACCTATATTAGTGAATTCAACATTTTAATATTCATATGAATGATGCCCTTATTTTAACAACCTATTCTATGTCGTCATATAGCTTATGCAAATGAAAAATAAACATAGGTGTATAATTTGTGAGTACTTTGTTGCAATTTTGTTTCTTAACTCGAGCGAATCCCCCATGAACTTACAATCAAAAGTCTTATCTTAAGTATGGAAAATAAATCCTTAGATAATATGGCTGTAAACTTTTTATATCGAATGTCATTTCTATATATATTATATGACGTGTATCTCTTATGACTATATTTCGTACATATTATACATCACTTCATTATACTTATCTAATATTAATAATGTAATAATCATTAACAAAAAAACAACTTTTACAAAATATTCAAAAACATATTTTGACCGCATTAAAAAATTTTAGTAACATATTTTTTATAAAATCCAATCCACAAAAAATAATTCACTTATCACATATACGTATTTGGATAATTATGTTGTCATCTACAGTGACGATCGGCATTTTTAGTATGCATTATTCGCCTAAAATAATAAATTATATTCGACTAAGATGTATGTTTTACACGTAAATCTTGTGAATTCGTCATTATGTACCTATGCAGTATACGATAGTGTTTTGGATTTTTTTTATATCAGAAAAAAAGTAAACATATATAATACATTTATACCTCATACCCACAATCAGAGACAAATACTATAATTATACTATAAGGCGATAAAATTCAAAGAATCATTTAAGTGCGTACTGAGACTAATTTTCTTATTGGAAAACAAAGCAAAAGTGCCTCTTTTAGAAATATTATAAGACCCTATTTTTGTAAATGCTAGTACACACGTTGCACTGTTGATCTTCCTTAACGTGAAAAAAGTTAATATGTGGTGTTTCGAGGAGTATTTTTTTAGAAAGAGTATTTGGAAATATCTAAATATTCTATAAGTATAAAAGTGCTTACCGTATACTAAAATATATTATTAGATATTTATAAAATAATATTTTATATTTGTATAAACGCAAATTATATTAATTTTAAATAATTTATTGTGTTATAGTTTTACAGAAATGAATAATACATTTTTATTATTAATTGAAATTTGTTTCTTTTATTAATTTTGAAACCATAATTCACGGATCCATTTGTACACACACATGGTGGTAGCTCAATTAACTTTAGCCAATTGGCATAGTATTTCCACGAGAAGAAACTAAAACAAAAACATAATATTAGTTGTATACATTTTTCTTTATTGTAAACAATGTGTATTATATTTTTTTTTCGTACAAAAATTAATGAACCACTTTATATAAAAGTGGTATTAATTAATAACCACACATTGAAAATAAAAAATGTATTTTATGAATACATTTTTTTTCTTCTATAAACATTAATCCGATTTTAAAAAAACTATAGATGGAATAATATAATTTAAAAAATGTTATAACAAATTCTTTTCACTTAAAAGAAATTTATAACCACTGTTATCAATATGTTTTATTATAGTGATACAACTAATTGAAACATTGCATATTTTCATTATTGTTAAGAAAATCAAAATGTTTGGTTAATTGAAATGCTTTTTTAAAAAAAAGATAGCTTAACTCTCTTAACAACCACTAACTACAGACAGTAGATTAGATGTTAAGGTTATCGTATGATAAATGTAATTAAAAAAGAAAAAAGTGAAGTAATTTAACTGGGTCCATCCATATTTCGAGAAACAAGTATGCGCTTATTTTGTTTGGGTAGGTATATTAAATATTTTATAATAGATAAACGGTTTCTTAACTTACCTTTAGCTGCTTCTGTGTTGCTACTACCTAATGCAAGGATGCATACAGCAATATATATCACACCTAATGCAATATTAATGAATTTCATTTTCCTGCTTTTCTGAAAAAAAAATGTCCAGTTTGATAAATTGTAATAGAAACAGTAAATGCAGATTTCCCGTTCGACATTTTTACAACGCTGAAGTTTTGCAGATTTTTCTATTTTAAGTATTATACTCTTTTTAAAATTTTTTTAAATATATTTAGTAAGGTATGAGTAGATAAATATAGGGTGATGGGTTTTCTGGTTATTGTGGAATAGGAACGTATGTAGAAAAATGTATTATGTGTTAAATTTAAATTGTACGACATAAAACTTAATATACGCGCCCATATAATTTTAATCACAGAAGATCCCATGTAAATAAAGGTTGTACAGTCTCCTCTTTTACATATTATCATAATGAACTAGTACAAGATTTGTTTTTTATATTCCTGGTATTTTTATTATGAGCTTTTTGTCGAGTTTGTAAAAACCCTATGGAATTGTTTGAAATATCAAATTGTTTCATACCGTAGCTTAAAATAACTACTAAACGTATACATTTTAACACTAAATTTACTTACCTATGATTAACGTATTATTGCAGATGAATGCCGTATTCAGTTTGAACTAATTATGATTCGACTATAGCGTGTGCTTGTATATTTATAGCCCTTACAGTTGAAATAAAAAGCTCTTTTGTGAAACAAATATTTATTTATGAGACACTTGTTAAAATCGCATAATATAGCATTTTGTTAATGCGGGGGCGACAATGTACATCTATGTGTTGATATCAAATAATGTGGTATAATAAAATATTATTTAAATAGCTGTAGATTTTTCTATTTGAATTAAAAAAAAAAGAATTAATCCCATACAATTAAATAATATGATAGGAAATTAAATATTTTTAACGAAAAAATAAGTATATTAAAATAGTGTATATTGACATTGTTTAATACGTTTGTGTACTTATAAATCCTACTACTGTGTCAAGCTGTTTAATCTTTGTAAATTAATCTATTTATTTATTTATTTATATATAATGAGTTGTGAGCAGGGACGGAGGTAGTTGGATAAGGAAAACGTTTTTGAGTATTAATTTTCTTTAAAAAGTACTTACTAACACTGTTGTTTTAAATGGAACTTTAGAAATAATATTCATATACATTGGAAATAAAAGTTTTATTAAAGCAATAATATTTTTAAATAAGTATGAAAAAAAAAATTAAATGCAATATTGACCAACTTGGTTAACATTCATCAATGGAGATGTACAGTGTACACACTGCAACAGTCGTTCTGAGACATTAAGTCTCGATAATCAATTATTTGTAATAGTAGCCCATCAGATAACCTATATTAAAGTTACCGGAGAGAACTAGTGGACCGAGTGCGTTTTAAATCTTCACTAACATTAATAATAATAATAATAATAATTAATTTTAAAACACAGGACCCACGGCAGAAGCTATGCTTCTAAAAAGAAAGAAAACATTTTTTAAATTAAAAAAAAAATATTTGTGTTCATTCATTGGTAATGCCCTTTTTTCGTGCCTGAGATGTAATCGACCAACCGATTGGCGTTTGGGGGGCATAACTGTCGATGATGCGCGCAAATTAGCTGAGAAAAATGAGAATGCTTTCAACTCACGATGAAATTCATGAATTGTAATGGTTAAATTATTTCAAAATAACTAACCAAGTGAATGTTGCCAATAAATCAATTAAGGCCAAATATTAAAAAACGACTAAACTTTTAAAAAACTTTTGGCCACAACATAAAATTAATCATCACCTACCATTCCCTTGAGTATCATAAAGTTAACATAAAGTAACTTGCAATATGCTACAGGAGGTTCTTCGACACTTTAAGCAAAAAACATATTTTTTAAACCTATAATTAATGGAATATAATATATCTGCTATACCGCTTAAGTACGAGCAATTGAATATGTCAATATATCAATAAAATTATGTTCTTACTGAAGAATTAAAAAGTTTGAAAAATTAGTATTCACAAATTAACTGGTATTAGAAACAACTCCAAAAAAACAATAATTTTTTGTTATCAGGCCAACTTACTACGCTCGTTTAATTTACAGAAAATTGTATTCTATATGGCTACAAGCTGTCCCGACCCGGCGTTGACCGGGATTTAGTTTGCCAGGGCTGAGTAAATAAATTACAAATAAGAATTTAAAAAAAGCCAATACTCCAGGCTGTATATACAAGGTGTAATGTAAAGTTATACCGAGCTTCAAATGAGACATTCAGGATGCTCTATGGGTACACTAAATGGTATTCATTTTTTTTTAATTTTAAAATTATTTAAAATAGAACTCGTATCTCATTAAAAAATTGTCTTACGAAAAAAATAATGTCAGATTTGAAATCGGGAGAAAAAAATCTTGTTGAATTGATATGTAACGCGATTTTTTGGTATCTGGCCACATTTGCGTCCATCAAGTGCCTACTGAGTGGCCGGCATATGACCGAAACCAACATAATATGGTAAGGGACACATCATTATCAGTTAGAATTTTACTTAATAATTAACATATTATTGAAGATAAGTGTTGTATTCAGTTTTAATTTTTGAAACAAATCATGATTCCACTATACCATGTGTGTATTTTTATAGCTATTATAGTTAAATTAAAAAGCTTTAATGTGAAACAAATATTTATTTATGAAACACTTATTAAAATCGCATAATATAGTATTTTGTTAACGCGGGGTCGTCAATGTACGTCAGTGTGGCGAGTCTATAGCCCTGAACTTGAATGACTGTCGATAAATCAAAACGATTTTTAAATATTTAAACAGCTGTATATTGACGTTGTTTAATAAGTTTGTGAATTTATAACTCCTACTACTATTTACAGCCTTATTAGAATATCTGTCCCAGCATTTATACTAAAGTAACTAGGGAGACCTACTTTTTCATAAAAAAAAATATTTTAAATGCAATATTGACCAACTTGATTGGCATTTAATTGAATTCCATCATTGGAGATGTACACACTGTAACAGTCGTTCTGGGACATTCTAAGTGTCGATTATAAATTATTTGTAATAGTAGTCCAGCAGGTAACCTATATTAAAGTTACCGTAGAGAACTAGTGAGCCTAGTGCGTTTGCAAATGCGTTGTCATGTCAATAATAAATGGCATAGGTATTAAATCAAATAGAGTTAAATTATGAAATTACCGTTATTATAGAGGTAAAAGTCCACAGGTTGTTGTTGTATACATGCTATATAATATAATATTATGATAAAAAATACTAGCAGCTGAATGGTTTCATGATACATGCAAGTTTCTTTTTCAGAAGTCCACAAACAGCAGAGGACATTTGAAATACATTCCCCCATCAATTTCATCAAGTTCAGATGGAAAGAAAAGCGAAGTAGTGTAGTTGTGTAGTTATCTATCGCACTGCATACCACCTGTCATACATTAAAACGCTTTAACATTGAAATAATCTTTCAAAACTGGTTATCGATCATTAATTTTTCGTAAAACACATTGTTAATAATATCATGATACAATTTTTAAAAAAAACCAGCGATGGGTTTAAAAACTATATGAACCGTGCAAGAGAAGACAAATTGTAAGAAAACTGACATCACTTCAAGTCATATAGAACTTAATGTCATGAACATATCTTTTCAGCTTCTCTTAAAATAATAATGCATTATATAATATGCATCAATATAATTATTAAGAAGACAATTTTAAGGTGAAATTAGGTAAGATTATTACCTAATTATATATCATTAATGAAAAATAATATACCTGATATTAAATAATAATGTATTTATCGAATATAAATAAAATTAAAAATAATTATATATAAACAATTAAATATAAATATACCTAATGAATACTTAGTGGTTTTCCCATCTTACTGCACGTCAATTTGTTTTTAAAATCAAAGTTGAAAACAACTTACAAAATAGTAATCGGAATTTTCTTATGTTATTTTGTAAATCTCTTTTTGAAATACATTGTAGAAAATTATTCAAACACACACAGCGCACTGAAAATACAGTTTGTTTTGTTGATTTTACAACTTTGTATACGGTTTGATATACAACTAGAAATGCTAAAAAAATGTAGAAGCCAGATTCGAATTTCGATTGACTATTTAAAATATTGTCGTGTTGCATAGTGTAATTAGATCAATAGATTATATTTTAGATATTTTTTAATTAAGACAAGTGGACAGTAACAATTTAATTTTCTATGTTGACATGATGGCTAATGTCATAGCTCATACAATGAACATTTTGTCATTTTATAAAAAAAAATTGCATACATCTTTTAGCTTTTATATTTAGTTGCCTTACTAATTTTTAGCAATAAGCGTCATTACCCAGTGGCTATTGCGATGTTATCTATTATATACTATAGTTATTGTGGAAAATAAAGTGTTCATTGTTGTTCATTGTAACTAGCAAGACGGTGAACACGGTTGATAATATCTCAATATAATAATATGTTTTGTTTTAATTGCTTGTTTGGATGACCATGATCGTATTTAATCATAATATGATAATCTGGCTACCACCCGGTGTTTGGTGTGATGCAGATGATGACTGATCATTGATGTCTGATAGTATACACAACATTACCTTGGATAGCTACGGGTGGCTGGTGGCTGCTGGCTCACTATGAATTATCTGCATTGCATTCAACTCCCTTGATCTATATAATACATAGAAATATCGTTGTTTCCAAGTTATATAATCTAAATAATTGATTAAACTATATGGAATCACGTTAGGTACCAATTATTACAACTTTAGTCAAGGTCCAACGAGAACACTAAAGAAATAATATCCTTTCGTGGCTACAGCTAATACACAAATAAATGTTTTTGGATAGAATTCTTGAAACAAGTACGATTTTTTTAGCATTCTTAGATATATAAAAAAATCATCATTTGTTTATCGCTGTTATTCGTATTTGTTTCAAATTATTTATTTTTTATTATACAAATATTATTTATTTAATACCTACTAATCTTTCGTTGTAAAGGATTTTCCGGAAAGAAAACATATTGAGCTTAATCAGAAACCGAAGATTTCAGTGGGCTGAACATGCTATGCTAAGCCAGAACCATCTCATAAGGATAATCATGGACGAGAACCCAGTTGGTAGGAGACCACTGGGAAGACCCCGATTGAGGTAGGAAGATGTGATAAGAAAAGACGTGGAGGCAGTGAATGGAAGACGGGATTGGAAAGCAAGGGCGGTTGATAGGGAAGGCTGCAGGATTGGATGTGTAACGGGATGGTCTTGATGGCCGAAAACCCAATGATGAATCTTTTTGTTGTATACGTTATCTTTTATTTATTACATATTAATAAATATTATTTATTTGAATGTCTAAGTAATAATCCATATGTATAGGTACTTACTCGTCTATATAATATGTACTATAACTATGGAATGTTTTTTAAAATAAATTTGAATTTATCTGACATCTTTTTTTTTTGTATAAATAATTTATAAACTAATTATCTTTTATTTAGTAAGTTACAATATAAATGGTAATCGGTAATCATGAATAAAAAATTGTCTATTATATGTCAATAATTATCTATTACTTATTATATTATTTAAATTTTACCCAAATCTGTGTCAAACTATAAAAACTACTATTGAATTCTAAATTAATTTTAAATTTAAAACAAAAATAAAATAATTGTATTTATGACACGTATTATTTTCTAATATTATCATTCAGTAGGCTTGGATAACGGTATTAGTTATTGAGTACTCAATTACACAAATAATAAATATTTGATATTTGTTGAATTGTTATCCAGTTTTGAAGACGACTAAATGTAAACACTTTATGGAATCGAACTTTGGTTAATTAATACAAAAAATGCATATGACTGTAAAGCACAAAAATATTATATACTATACAAACATAGTAAAAATATAATTCACTTAATACACTTTAAACAGCTCATAAATATTTTCACAATATTTTTTACATTGATATTGTAACAGCTGTTTGGGTTATAAGCTAATCAAACAGCCAAAATCCAGATAATATGCAATAATAAAAAAATTATTTTATAAATTCTAGTTTCGGGATAAAAATTAACTATCTATTTAGATAAAAACATCTAAATAGATAGAATAGATCTAAATATAATGAACAAAATATGAATTTTATAATGAAAGTATTTATGTGATTATGTATACCCAACAAATATTGAGTTTTCAATTCAAGGCAATCAATAAATTATACATGTAGGTATATATATTCGCAATAGTCTTTATTATATTTATATTTTAGTCGACATTTAAAATATTAACATAATAATTCCACTTTTAAACCCACATAAATATAACATAATAGGTAACTACAGTTATTGTAACAGCTGGTTAAAATTCAAGGCCGTATTATAAATGTAACGGTTAATTATATTATCAGAGTTGGCTATAGGGAAATAGATTGTAATTATAAATCTCAATGGAAAAATACCTGAGATTGCAGTTTTTCATGGCACATACCGCGTGACGTGAATACTAATAATTGCATTCGCCCAATAGGTCACAATGTGCAGAATATGCGCATTAACATAATACAAATGATTCCTTAACAGGAATTCGGGTTATCTAAAGTAATATTGTTTATCTAAATTAAATAAATCATCACTAAATACATCACGACTAAAAAAAAATTAGTTAAAGATATATTTTTCATTTTGGTGGCAAAATATGTTGTGCAAAAAAAAAAAAATACTAACAATTATTGTTTTGTTATAGTAACCATACTATATTATATTATTCTCCTCAAAAATAAACCTTTCTAAGTATTCAGGAACGCAATTTCGTTTAAAAAAGTTTAAAACCTAATGACCCCTCCCATATGTGCCTAACTTAAATGAACCGATAAATTAAATTAAATACAACAAAATTACGAAAACATTAGTCATTACTCATTGTCTTTCATAAGTATTTACAGTCAGTTACAAACAATGATGAGTGGGTGAGTCAGTAACAAAAAACTTTGAAATTCAACCCTTTTGAAAAGGCTTACTTTTAAGGGCTCAATTGTTTACAATGTACTAAGCTACTCGAGCTTAATCTATGTTTCAAATTTCAAAAGTTTATCTTAAGAGGAAACAGAGATATCGTTACCGTAACAGCAACAACACGTATCTGCAAATTTTCGATTTTTTTCTATGTTATCAAAATGACGAAATATTTAGAATCTCTTTTCGCACATCTTTCATTGACCATATTTCCCGTAAACACACTGTTGATAATTTTCTTATATGTGGGTCAACATTTAAAAAAACTGGGTGAATTGTTTCGTGTGAAGATACACTGACATTGCTGGTACTTGGCCTTGCGCTCAGATTATAATTTATCTCATTACTAACATTAAAAAATATATATATTTCCAAAAGCAGAAGATAGTATCAACTCTGTATTCAAATATTTTCTCGGGGAGGTGAAAGACATTTGTTGGGCTTACCTCTCTCTCTCCCTTCTTTCCTTATATCATTGGTCCAATGTGGAGAAAGTTGTTTTAAAATAATACTAGTACTGTAGCTACTTATTTAATAAAAATCGTATAATTAACGCCGTACGATTATTAGTTATTTAAATGCTTAAATAATATATATTATTTAATTAATTACAAAAATAAATAGTAAGTACAATGATTAATTATTGTAATAAACCGGTCAACGTTTAGCAAATTTTTTTCTCCCGTACAATTTTCTAATAACTGGTACCTAGTTGCTGCGTTTAAGTTTTGGACAGCCGTAGTGATAACTGATAACAGTGCTTTGTTTACAATCCCTATTTAAGATAACAGTTATCTTAATTCGTGTTTACAATGTTAAAAACTACAGGTTATAATTTTGAAAACTTACAGTAGGTATATTTTTGATAATTTAAAGATTAAAAATAAATGATTAAACTTTGTCAAATTAAACTAATAATCGAGTGAAAAATTAATTGTATTATGGACTCAGACGCTCCACCGTTGTCTCGCTCTCGTCCGCCTACTTCGAACGATAACAATGAACGACTGTCGGATGCCAATGAAGATATTCAATTTTCTCCTTACCGCTATGAGATGCAACCTGTGTCATCACAATCCTTAGCACCGCTTACATACCCGACGCCTATTTCGGCTTGGCCCAACGCTCAAAACTTCCCACCATATTTGGAAGCCAACTCTTCCCAGCCATCATCATATATGTACCATCCACCATCCTCGAGCATGAGATTACATCCGACCCAACAAGTGTCGCCAAATTGTTTAGACTGGAAAATCAATCCTATTGTAGCACCTACGAGGCAGTTCAAAACCACGCCTAAACCGTTATTTCCTCTTGGTTACAGTTCAACCATCTCGGAAAACTGGATGGAAGGCAACAAAGGTCTTCAGTACAGTATTAAAAATTTTACTTTCTGCACCAAAAGGACATCGAGCAATACAAAAGATGTTGAAAAAGCAAACGAGTATGACTCGTTATTTGTGTCTATTCCTCAGGTACGTTAAAAAGTGCATACATTGTTTTATACAAATTATATGTTTGATAATATTTAAAATGCAATATTATAAACCAAATTCTGAATATTATGGCAGTAAATAATTTATTTTTAAAATACCATTATAATTAGTTTTGTTAATATTCTTTATGGAAAGGGAATCGTAAGAAATTATATATTTTTGTTTAATTAAAAATGATTTAGAAAAAATTAAAAAAATTATTTGAATTATTAATTTTGATATTTTTATTTGAAACATATTTGATTTGTTATTAAAATTAATTCAAATTAAAAGTAATTATTTGGATATTTGTTTAAATAAAATAAAAATTTTAGGTATTCCAAAAATGGTTATTTTTAGTAATTATTTGAATTTTTATTAAAACAAAACGATGTTTAAATAACTGCAATTTTTTTTTACTATTCTATAATAAAAAATAAAAGTAATTTATTCCTTTTCCTATTCATAAGCAAAACCAATTTCAACTCATTCTACGATCCATTCCTTAAAACTACCTAATTTCATAAACTTCTTTCTTTGGAACTTTATTTTTATATTTGAAGTTAATAAGTATTCAATTTATTAAGGATGAGGCACTAAACGAGTAAATGTGATTCTACAGGCACTGGAAGGAGATTATCATTACTATGTGTGGCCAGCGTCTCCTGTCCTGGCGTGGATTTTATGGGAACACAGACTTGAACTACCAGGAAAGAGGATACTGGAAGTCGGTTCGGGTACATCCTTACCGGGTATCATTGCAGCAAAATGCGGAGCTATTGTTACATTGACTGATGATCCACGAGTGCCAGGAACTATTAAACATATACAAAAGTGCTGTTACATGAACGGCCTTTACCCAGAACAAGTAAAAAAAAAAAATTAAAGAGTTTGTTTTATAGTAAATTTGTTTAATTACAACGAATAAATACTGTTTGCAGATAAGAGTGATCGGACTTCCATGGGGATACTTCTTACGTGAAACTCTCAACTTGGGACCAATTGACTTGATTATAGGCTCAGACTGTTTTTACGAGCCAAACTTGTTTGAAGACTTAATTGTGACCATATCGTATCTGTTGGAACGCAATCCGATGGCAAAGTTTATGACGACGTACCACGAAAGAGACCCTGATTTAGGAATCGACGAACTAGCAGATAAGTGGATGCTCAATTGTACTCATAAATCTCTTGAAGAATTGGGCAAAAACAATGAATTGGATATTTATGAGCTGATGAAAGGCAACGATATTCATCTTTTAGAGATTACTAGAAAAGTGTTAAAAAATAAATGAACTATTGTATTATAATGTTTATAATATATATTTTTTAATATTTTCCCTTTTTTTTTATGTACTTATTAACTTATCTTATAGACTTTTAAAACATAGAATTAAAATTAATAATTTGATTCCGTCCATTTTTTATAATATAATGATGTATTTTTATTGAACATTTTAAATTTATTTATGTTTAAACCTTAAGTTAAAAAAATAATAAGCTGTGCTTGGGAACAGCTAATAATTTAACCGTAGTAGTGTTTAGAGAAAAGGTTGTGTATGAACTGACAAATATGTATTTTGAGATTATTGTATCATGTGTACACTTGAGAGGACTTTATACACCCATTTGTATAGTGTAAATACTACTAAAAGACTACTAATAAGACTGCAAAAACTCGTTTTATTCACCTAATGACGTGTTAAAGAAAAAAGGAAAACCTAATATAAAATCGAAAGCAAATTATTTTTTTAAAAGTAAATAGTCCATTAGACCGAGTAAAACGCAATATTGTGTTTTTCCACATTTTGATTAAAAAATAACAAAATCCTTCATTATAATACAGGGTGTTCAGTTAATCAGAAGACACTCTTTGCTCAGAAAATAATTTGGTACAATTTTATAGTTTTTTTTTTTTAACATTTATTTATGCTATATTGTACAATATTATAAAACTACCAAATATTTACCTTTTTTAATATTTTTCAGCGTTATTAACTTTTGAAACTTAAATAGGAACATTTTTATTTAATTTACTTTTAAATTGTTTTGATAATTTAAATTAAATATATAAATTATAATATTATATTTAAATTAATAATAATAATTAAATTTGTTGTTAATTTTGACTGGTCGATAACTAGTTTTAAATAATAACTTTTAAAATTTAAAATTTAGGACGGGAAGTGGAGTGCAGTTGAGTAATGCACGTAGATAAAAAATTACTACATTCCACCTTTTCTCCAGTCCTCCAGTTTTAAACTTTAATAATAGTAATTAACCAAAACTGTAAATGTTAACTAGTAACATTTACAGCAAATTATTCTACTTTCAAAAAGTTTTTTTTTAAATTTAATATTTATTTATGCAAATCTTAAAATGTAGAACAATGACCAAAATAGATGTAATATTTATAAAGGGCAAATTTACAGAGTGAAGAGGTCTCTCAGTGGAGGAACTTTGAGTTTATTAAAAATATTTTTTCTATTTGACTAGCAGGTCAACACCAATGCTTTCTAAATCTTTTTTAGGGTTACCAGGAATAATTATTGATGAGAGTTCAGAAATGAGAAGATTAGGATGATGATTTGTTCAGTTTCTGAAGCATTAGTGTAGTTTAGCAATTTCAGTCACAGTTGAGTTTTTTAGGCCTTAATGAATGGAAATATAAAATGGGGCTTTACATATACTACATAGGACTTTGGATTGGAATCTCTGAATACGGTCAAAAATTTAAATAAAAATATACATTCCCATACGAGTTTCAAAAGTTGAAAGCGCTCTTAATTAATGCGAGCTTTAATTCGCTCTTAATTCCATTAATGCTAGCTTTAATGGAAATAGAGGCATAAGTAATATTTTCCTATTTACAGAAATGAAGTAAAACATTTCACAGATTATTAAAAAAATGGATTGTTATTCTTGCAACCTTTTTTGATTGACAAGAAATGATTTATTGCTTACATAAAATACTTAGTCGTAAAAAAGATTCAGTGGGACTAGTATTATTGCTTTTACGTTATCCATTATACAGACGGATAAATTTGATTATTATAAAAATGTAAACAATTCTTTTCGATGAAAGTGTTGCTTTCACACCTTTTGGTCAAAGGTTTAAATTATAAATTATAGAAAAAAAAATTGTATTTAATATTAATGTAACAATCTTTTTTGAAAAATTACCCACTAAAAATAAACAAACACAATGAAACTAGTGAAATTAATATATTGCATTTTTTTTATTTTAAATTATTTTTACTAAAACATAACTAGAACACAAAATCCCATTCTCCAATTTTAATCTGAATAATTAATGATAGTTAAATGTTATAACACCTGAAAAGCGGTAAAAAAAATTGCTTATAAAATGTTTTTATGTATTGCTATTTTGATACAAATTTTAATCGTAACTCAGTTTTAGATATTTCAATTATAAATGTAATAACTTGTAAGTTAATATTAACTACTATTAACAATGATAAATTGAATTCAATTTTTTTCTTTTTGGTAGTGTTTATTTTATTTCCATTAATTAATATTTAGTTTTAATTGTTATTCATTTATATTTTTTAGTGTATTTGAAATACTTCTAGAATTCATTAAATAAAATGGCACCCGCCATTAATTATAATGCGATAATAAAAATAAAAGAGAAACGCCACAATTTGGTTATAAACATTAATATTCATTAAAGTTGGTGTGAGCAGTCTGTTTAGCGTGTTCTTGTGCTTGCGTTTGACCAATCATTATGCAACCGCAGTCTAGGCATTTCAGAGTAAATCGATTAACGTCTGTATATTGTCTACTAGACTTGGCTTCATTAGCCAGCAACTGGGCCGCTTCTAACATCCGATCATCATTTTTCGGGAATAAAGTCTGTATTTCACCAGCCTGAAATATGTACGACAAAAGTATGCTATTAGGCGTTTAAATATATATATATATAATTGGAAAACAAATTGAAACTTACGCCAAATGGCGATTCCAAGTACAAGGGATCGTAATGTATGCCGTCATAAATTAGAAATACGCGGTGCGGATATTCTTTGTCTTCGCCAAATTTACTAATTGATCCGCTTTGTGTATCTATCACAGCTATTTCGACACCGTAAAAATTTGATAATATCGACACTTCGATTGCACCGCCCCACGAATCAGGATTTCGTATCCATTTGCAGTAATCTTCATTAGGCTTTCCCAAAACAGCTTCACTAAACTCTACTTGGTCGTCCTTGACGGCGTTGGCTATAATTTCACGCATATAACTACCACTGCCTAAATCTATTTTTCCTGTAAATATAAAATTAAAAATGTAACTAAAAATTATTTCAAACAATACCACAATGTATATTGTATAAATTAAATCTAATGAAAAATTAATATAAAATAATTAGTGGATCTATTTGGATTTTAGTTAAAAATGTTATATATTTTTATCAACAATAACTTAAAAACAACAAACAATAAAAATTAAAATCTAATATCTTTTTAAGTTTTTGGATCAATTAAGAACCTTTCAGGTACATTTAACGACATCTTGGGTGCACACAAAAATAAAAATACATATTATAAGAAGAATTGAAGCTAAAATAATTATTTAAAACTGGTAATTGACCAGTTAAAATTGTTAGTAAACTATTTTTATTTTAAAATAGTAATAAAATATAAACGTTACAATTTCAGTTTTTAAAAGTTTAAAAACTATCAAGTGATAATGTTCTGGAATTCACAGAAAAAAAAAGTTTTAAGAGAAATTGTGTTTTACATTAAATGGATCATGAGTATAAACAAAATTTCAAAAGAGAAACATGTCCGATAAATTACTATTTTAATAGTGAAGGTTAACTCTTAATATATTATTACTGAAAAACTTTAATCAATGGTGTTTATTACATTATATTACATTCTTACCTCCCAATACAAATCCCATACTAGTGAACAAACACGAGTTGTCGGCAGGCACTACTTTACGCAAAATAAGCGGTAATCCATCGCCGACTTCTTGTTCAATAACATGCTTTAGAATTGCGTTTTCGGTTTGAATTTTAGTTTCCTTGACTCCTGAGCTGCTGGTGTCCACTTCGGCTATTATCGTATCACCAGACTTAATTCCTGCGTCTGCCACCGAGCCGTCGAATTGCAATATAGGTTTTGGTGGAAAGCCAAACAACAATTTTATGCTATTCGAAGGTATATCACTCAGCACTGACAACTGCTCCTTTAAATCGGTTAGATCGCAATTCGGCGATATTTTAATCGGGAACGTGCCCGAACGGCATTTAAGCCTTAAAGAAATGTCAGACATGGTCAGCTTCGATAATCATAGAACATCATAATAAGTGAAAGAGGAAATATTGGTGGAAAAATCGTATAAAATGTTGAAATGATTTGCTTACATTGACCAAAAGATTACTACTACAGTTTAAAAAAAATCAAAAGCAGTACCAAATTTTTTTGAACAACGCGTTTAGAACTGCAATGTAATTGGCACAAAGAGACGTTACTTTATCAACAGTGATATGGTTAGATTTAAAGATTAATTTTTACAGATTCAGTGTAGCCAACATATGTACGAAAAATAACGTGACTATAGATCTAAAATATTTTAAATATGGTTGATGAGACTCTACAATAGTTTTCTTTTTTAATTGTTTATCATAATATACAACATGTCAAGTTTGTTAATTAAAAAGTACTATAAGTAAATTACATTTCCTTATCCGTTGCATACTTCAGTATCAGACATAATAATATACTAATTTACTATAGTATTTACTACTATAAGGTACTTGACAGCAGTGACGTATGTCCTGAGAGGGGGAGGCTTAGTTATATTATTATAGTAAGTATTTGGAAAAAAATTAAAGTTATTTTAATAGGTATTATTGTAATATTTAAAAGTATATATTACATAGCTACACATTAGTTCAGAAACTTTGTGTGGATACTCATTACGTTATAAACAATTTACAATTTAAGTTTGTAAGAAATATGAATTTGCTTTATTGTCGATTGTTAATTATTTATGTTAGAACTAATATATAACTTAAAATAATACCATTGTGGTTATTATTTTATTTTAATGGTTTGTCGAAAAATAGTTGTCTGAGTTTGTGTACACACGATATTGCTCTTTGACGAAATGTTTTATTTTAAACCGGTTTTCTTTTGTTTTTAGTCTTAAAAAGTGATTTGTTTTGTTGTAATTAGGCAATTTGTGTAAAAATTATAATCATTTTGTAAAAGTTTTGGTACTTTGTTGTGTGTATATTTTTTACGAATTTCTACAGCAGTCTGATCTTTTACCTCCTATAATTTTTTTATTATTTATTAAGAGATTTTCTCCCACACAAGGTTTGGGTTTCTCTGCCATGAATAATTCTCTAAGCACACTAAATAAATAACAACAATATATTTCTATGCGTCATCATATTACTAGTTTAATTTCAAGTAAAACACCAAGAGTATCGTCGAGTATTATATTTACTTAACTTCAAAAATGACTAACAACCCTTTAATACAATTTTATAATTAATCTATGGCGTATTAATTATTGATAGGTACACATAAAAATTGTCTATTACTAACAATACAACTCAATAATGGATAACGCAGTATTTTAAACGCCGTTATTTTATTAATTATTCGTATATATTTTCTTATATGCATGACAAAATATTGAGGTCCTGTGTGCCGAATAACAAATGCTACGTATTAGATTAATGAGTAATGACACAAAAAGAAAATTCGACAAAACAACGTTATATAATATAATTATTATACATGACAGACTACAATTATTATAAAATGTTAACATACAAGTCAAAGTAAAACTAGAATTGTCTGGGGACACTATAATATTATCATGTACCTACTTATATATTTATTGAAAAATATTCAAAATTTAAAAAATTACTAAATTATTATAATAATAAATTGTATAATTAAGTCGCAATACCTAAAATACATGCTTAATAAATATTTTTGTTTTTTAAAATTTGTTTTTATAAAACATTTTTATGGCTTTGACTTCAAAACAATTGAAGCCGAAAATCGGCATAGTTCTCACGGCATATTTATTTAAAAGTAAACAAAACAAAAGTGCAATTTAGATGATTACCTAAAATAAATAACAAAATTAATTCATCGCAGTCATGATAAAGCATATATTATAATTAATATGCGCTTGATAAAGATAAAAATAAAATTCTAGTTTATAACATTATTAACAGCTTAGAATATAGTACTATAATAATAACATTTGTTTTACATAGCTTTTACAAATAATAACACAGCGTAAGTTGATATGCTTGACTGCTTATGAATACCCAACAACATAATTGTGTCTATATAATATAATATAATAGTTTTAGAAAATTATATCTAATAAATGTTAAATTTAAAGAGATCGGTCTTAGGTATATACACCCATAACAAATCTCTTTGTATTTTAAATATTATTACTGGTTTTTTTTTCAAAAAACTTTTAAACATTAATGAAATAAAAAAACTAAATGTTGTGTTAAATTAAACGAATTTAGTGAATCACATGTTGAAAAGGTAACTCCGATAAGTTAACGGCTGAATTACATACTTTAGAAATGCATAATATTATAATAAAATTAATACTTTATTAAAAATCGGTTTTTTAAATCGATTAAGTGAATTTATGAATTATACTTATGAATACAAAATATTATATGGTTGTTTACACTATATAAGTTATAGTCTATGTTATGAAACATGCCAAATGAAAAAAACCTTATGTTTTACAACTCACTTTAAAGAGTTTATATTCGTTAACATAAGCAAAATTCATACTGTATGAATTTTGCAACAACATGTATGAATCATACATGTTGTTGTAACAGAACTAATCACATTGTATAATATTATGCGGTCCGTATTATAAATTACTTATGATTAATCGATAATAAGTAATAAATATGGCATTATAATATAATAATCATAATTTTAATAAATATAATTTGATTAAATGTTATATAATATTAATGGTATTTACATTATGAAAAATAATAAGTGCTTGATAGTTAAAATATTATGTTAGCGCCACTGTATTATAATATTAATAATTAATAAGAAACTATTAAGAAATTACATTAAAAACTACGCAAAGGCTTTATGAACAAGTTTATTTTAACAACAATAAAAAAAAGTGCTTAAATGATATCAGACCTGAAATTTTTTTATAAGTAAACCAGTCGGTTGACCAAAACTTAAATACAATAATTATAAAAATTATCATTCATTATTTGCTATCATTATTAATTGAACAGCTACAAAGTAATTTTGAAATGCTAAAATAAAATAAATTTAAATATTATAAAAGCGTTGATGTAATTTTACAGACAAATATATACCAGTATAATATTACTATCCTACAGTCGATTATGGATTATTTCCAACATGGTGTTATCAAACTCAGTATAATGGTGTTGACTTAGCATTAAAAAAAAAATTTTTCGACTTAAGTATATAGCCTAAAATATTATTCTACCTACATTCCGTTAAATATCTAAAAATCAAAGTTGTTTAACAAACGCGTTAAGGATATTTTTTAAGAGGAATTACCCAAAATAATAATATGGGCAGTACTCTTGTCCTACTCGACAATTATAGTTGTTCGAAAAAGTTTGAAGTTTTAGAAGATGACACGAAAATTAATAGAGTTAATATTGTAAACTTGTTAAAAGTTCATACATTTTAACGTTTTCTTATCTATTTTTTGGACCCTCACTGTTTTTATTAATTCTTGGTTTTGTAACCATAATATTGATGTACACTCCTTTCATTTGATTAAATTATATATTTCTTATCGATCCACACTTTTTAAATATAAATCTAATATTCAAATTGCTGTTATTTTGCATTCACATTTTGAACTAAGCGCGTTCATTACGATTTATTAGGAATACCTTGTTCACACTCATAGTATTTTGATTTATTGTGATTCTACACCCTGTACTTATGGAAACTATTTTCGAAAAATAAAAGTAAACATAAGTACAAATGGCGTAAAATAAAATGTTTAAACTCAAATAGTTTTAGTGGTAATGATTGTTGTAATTTACATTTGTTGTTTAATTATAATATTTTAAGTACTTAAAACATTATTATTATTACTCAATGGGTATTAAAATGAGTTTAATCTAAAACACGGTTTGGCTACATACATTAATTTTAAAATGCTAGTAATAAAACGTGTCTAAATGTAAATTATACTGATAAAACATATGTCTAAATGATGTTTGATTGTCCGAATGTATTACATAATACAATTATTGTATATTGTTTTAATTTGTCTTAAACGTTTTCAGGTATCGTCAATCACGGGGAAAACCTTCTATGGTTGAGTTTTAGTGGAAAATTAAGTATAATATTTTTATGACCTTTTGAACAAGATTTAGATAATATTGTTGAAATATTTGTGTTAAAAACCACAAAATGTATTGAAAAACTAATTTTTACAGAAGGTTTTCAAAAATGTATTATCGTCATGTAGGATGAGGTTTCGTTGGAGAGAGCTTACTTGAGAGATATTTATATTGGTTTGAAACAGTTACTTTCACTTTCTGTTTTTTTTTGGCAAATGCGCTTTAAAATTTGTATTATCTATTAAGTTTGGTGTTCATGTTTTTTACAAGGCTCATCATTTTTTTTTCCTGGGAGTGCCCTTTTTGTACAGTACAAAAAATGTTTGGCCAAGGTATTTTTGCCATAAAATGACTGACTTATTTAATCACCATGTATTAGTTTATAAAATATTTTTTTTACTACTGGAAAATTGTATTTTAGCACATCAAATATTTATCCCATTTAGACGGTCCATCTACTACTATTATACATTAATAACAGTTACGTGAAATAAATTTATATATATATATATATATTTATTTAATTGGTAGCGGATTACATTTAATATCTAAATATTCAGCCATTAATAATTGAGCTGTATACGGTCATACGAATTAATTCATATTTATATTTAAATAAAATATATAACTATTTCAAAGCATTTATAGAGCCAATGGAAATGTAAGCGATATAATCTTCCTTAAAATGTAAGGAATCAAAATATTAGGACATGATTTGGGTTCGTTTACTTAAGTATTATCATTCTCCATTACTTTGTCGTTTGGCTTTAATCATAAAAAAAATCCATCAATTAAAAACTATAATCCTCTGTCTATGAATAAATATGCTGAGTATACTAGGAATAACTTTTATACATTTACTCTATTTATTGTAATAAATTATAAATAAAAAAAATCTATTGGTATAGATACTACGCAACACAAACAGAACGTCGCCAAGCTTGATGGACATTTACTAAAGAGAAAATACAATCGAAAGAGGAGGAGAATCATTAAATTAATATTTTAGTTTTGATTTGAATAACAACAGGTATTGATTTTACCAATATATTTTTACCAAGCTGTTATCTTTGCGTTGTTACCGATGGTGGTGTAATGTTCATTTCTGCGGTCGTTTGATTTATATTTTTTAAGAAAATTGTATTAATATAATTGTTATTATTAATTGACGATTTTCAACGTGTCGTTTGTTGCAAATCGTTTACATCATATTTTGCAGCGGTATATCTACAGAATTATACTTTGGTAGCTATTATGAATGATTATAGTATTGCTATAAGAACGTTGAGCTCCTCAAGTCACTCGCCTTTGATCTAAATGGTCCAGTGGCTTGGATGACTTGTGTAGTGGATGAAGAAGAATATCAAGAATATAGCATAAGCCGTGGGGAACGTAATACGGGCGATCACGTCGATAGTCTTGGCTATGCGAATCGGGTGTGGTGGCATTTTGTGTTTGAGAACTCGGCCGCTTCTAGTGTTATCCTCCTCCTAGACACATACAAAATCAAAAATTAATGCGAATAATTTTCTATACAATGTTCCTGTATAATAAACTGATAGTTTTATCAAAATGATAAATACCATATAATTTAAGGGTGTAAAAGTAGAAAAATATACTCAAATTAATGTTCATTTGCTCGAAAATTTGTGAGTTCACGCTATTAAACGACCTTCTGCTATCAAGTACTCATAATAATTATTCGTTATTATATTTTAGTTATGCTCTTCTCTTACATATTATAATATTATATTATTGTTCTACATTATTAAACTCAAGATTTGTCATCGTTTCCCGTTCCTAGTTTACAGTGGAATACAAATTATTTAGTTTTTATATAAAATGTTTTAAAAGCAATTCACATCTCTATTGCAGCTAGGATAAAATATTCAAAATGCTATTTTCATTTAAACTTTAGTTTTTCTTATGTACATGCCACAGATAGAAATTCACAATAACATACTATAAAAACTTGAAGCCTTGTATGTTTTTTTTATATTTTCATCGGGATATTATAATTATAATGATATAAAACTATTCATACATATTATGTAGTTTTTATTTTGTTCATGTTTGTTATGACGTTATAATATACTTTGTTAAAACGCATTATTTGTATAGCTTGTTTGTTTAATTAATAAACATTCTCACTAGATTTTAATTGGATTTTTTTTTTTTAACAAAAAGTTTGTTTAATTATTATTCAGACAACGGTAAAATGTATTCAGATAATATATACATACCGTTTTAGATGGGCATGTATTGTGTAGCAACGAATGGGTACATGCCCCTTGGCCGCAACTGGAACATTCCCCTTGATTTTTGTCACCCTAGACAGCAATAAAAACAGTAGAAAGAGTTATGGTGTTTTGTAAAACCGTTGTAAATTGTAAATTAATCGTTCCTATTAATAGTATTGAAGTAAAATAAACGGTGAATATAAATATAAAAAAAATGCAATAGTCGTGTGAAATATAATAAAATGTAAAAAGTTTTAAATTTATACAAGTATAAATTAATTATGAGGGGGTCCAATGGCCGAGTAGGTAAGGCTCACACTGGCTGGTTTGGCTGTTCTTTTCCTGTTGACAGGTGACTGTCTGTAAAGAGAGACTACCATTCTCCTCTATAGCATCAAAGAAACCTATAAGGTGCACCAAAAATTCTGCTAAATAGGCTCAAGAGACGCGAAAAAAATATTATAAAGGTTTTTTTATAACAATAGATAAAATCTCCTCTTGTTGAATAATTAAATAATTTACACTTTTCAAAAAAAAAATATATTTATATACAATTGTATTAAAATATGATTTTCATGTCAACTATTCGTAAGCTTTAACAGTTATTATGTCATAGGATCTTATTAACCGATATATGTAATTTTATTTTTAATGAATATTCACTTTCCATTATAAGTCATTTATACTTATTACTTGGAGGGGCCCAAATTAAAAATAATACATTTGTGTAAGCCTAATAAGGTATTAAGATTTTTTAAGACTCAAGTTTCACACGCAATAATTTAATAAATAAAAAAAAAATGCAGCATTAGAAAAAAAAAATGTTTAAACCCTTAACAAGCATGAGAGTCTTACACGAATTCCAAGTGTGAAAATTAAAATTGAAATGGCACAAGCGATAGATAATGTAATTAGATAAAAAAAATTACTATATAAACGAATAACACAACTGTTTTAGCAATAATGTTCTTTGGCTTGTAATTTGCTTTTAATGCAATAAATTATATTATAACAGTCAACTTCATGAGAGTACAGAGTACTGATGAAAGAATACAAATATATAAGCTTTAGCACGCTTAAGAGTGATGATTATGCGATAATATTACATCAGTATTCTTAATTACTATAACTAATTTCCATATAAGTCTATAATAAAAATGCTTAATTTAAATAAAAAAAGGTTCATATGCACCATAGCAATATAAAAAATAAAATACTTCATCAGGCGCATGTGTATGTTATATTGATGTCTTTAAAAAATCAATGTAATTATATAAATACTTATTATTCTACAAATGGCATACGTTATGTAAAAGTGTAATTCATATTTTTAATTCCTACAGATTTTTTTTTTATCGTTCTTACATATGAAGAAAACTTTCCGCTATCCACGTAACTCTCATAGCTAATCTGGTTCGCGTCCTCGCGGTTTAAACGCCGTACGTGCTGTTGGAAATTAAAACAATAACTTATACCATAAACTGTTGAAAAAAACGATTATATATATATATATATAATATATATATATTTATATATATATAAACAGTTACATAATGTGCTATTATCACTAACACATATATTTGTTTTGTACTAACGATTGTAAATCTAAATTCCATTAAAAAAAAATACAAATATTGTTACTATTCCTTTTTTCCCCCAACCGATCGAGTAATAATTGAATCTAATTGTTCTTGTATAGTTTATATCATATAATTAATTTTATATAAGCACTCTACAACTCTTAACTGAAAAGTTAAGTAAACTAGTCAAAGTATATTATTTTCGGTATTTGCCGATTGTAAAAAATTGTATTCAAACAATATTATAATATTATATAATTTGGTCACAGCATTGAAATATTTGCCTTCAATTGGTTTGTAATACATCAAACAACATCATAGCACTATTATCGTACGTAAAATGTGTAATGTTTCATGCCATGTATTCTAAATAATAAGTTGTTCCAGATTATTCCATTACGACCTTTTTTTATCAATTCATTTTCATTGTTGTTCCGGAACAATGTATTGGAACAATATATTAACTCACATTATTCCATTTGTCATTAATGGATCAATATTTTGTTCCACTACAATAATTTGAAACAATTTAATGCTCCGGATTACTCCGTTCCGACAAAGTTTAAACAATACATTTCAACAAATATGACAACTAATAACTAACTATCTAAATAATTAACTACTAAATAAAATTTATGTTATATTAAAATGTACAACAAAAATTAAAATTAAACAAATTAATAAATAGTATTATTTTATCTAAAACATTTAACATGTTTTTACGTTTTTCTAAGATACGTTTGTCTTACCTACTAAGATAGTTTTTACTGTACTCGTATTATTTTCCCTCTCATAAGATAACACATAATATTGTAGCCTATAGATATGAGATAACCGCCACTTAACAGAGAGCCACAGTGATGAAAAGGAGTCAAAAATATAAATTGTATTATTAATCTACTACGAACACGGATAATAATTATTATACGAACAATTTTTGTTTTATCTAAAATGTACTTTTTTAAATCCTTCGAGTTGTCATAATGCGTTAATGTAGCAATATTGCATATGTACAGCGCCGCCGTTCCTTATAGTATTAAAGTATTTTTATTTGGAAGTTCGGACTACGCCCAACTAAAAATGATTCATTATATTATATAGTTAAAATAAAAAAACCAAAGAATTTCTTTTGTAAAGGCCCACACTCTAAAATATAATCTCTTAAAGTAGGTCAGATAGTACTTAAAATATTCAGATATTACTTAAAAACCTTTGGGATATTATTTCAAAAAAAGGAGTTTACATAGGCGAGAGGCTACTCGCATATAACTGCAGTATTTTATTATAATATACTCTAATAGTATATTAAAATATACAATAGAAGGATGATCAATATTTATTCAAGTCTGTTTGAATCTTGAGTCAATTTATTTTGTTGTCAAACATAAAACATTACAACATAGTTTGAAATTGTATGTACCATCATTTTTTAAAAAATTATTATTGTGTGGAATTTTAAAAATGATATTAATATTCTTCCCATGACGTTTATTTCTTTGCGTTTTTAAATAATGTAATATTGTATATATATATATGTGTGTGTGGTACTTATTTACTATATATTTTTTTTCGAAATAACGCAAAAATATATTTTATATTATGTTTGTATTCTAGACTGATATTGTTTACATTTCGCATGGACAAACTTCATAGCCATCAAAATCAAGGCCGACCAATTTGGTTATTTACAAAGAACTTCATAATAATATGGTAAAATATTGATCATGTTTATATGTAAGACATTCTGTTTTAATACATCTTTTGTTCAAATAAAATAAATAATATTATACACAGCACAAACATATTAATAATTATAATTTGTTTATGCTGTAAAAAATACAAGTAATCATTTGTATTATTTAAATTAAAAAAAAAAAACAATATGTAGATAAAAAACACTACAGTATTATTTTTATTACATTTTAACAAACACAAAACCATAATGAAACACAATTAAATTGTATTCAATATAAGCCAAAAAATGCATTTTATTAGTTCCTAGTTATTTGTAATCGTTTCGCAGTAACTTGAATCGACTTAAGTTAATCTATGATTTAGGTAAATTTAACTTCATGTTAAATGTGAATGAACTATTTTATTATATTCCTTTACCTAAATAAAATCTAAATTCGTAATTGGAAATTGCATATAAACCCTAATGCTAATGCGCGTTAACTTAAATTGGACTTACTAATATGCGTTAGAGACGTCGTATAAACTTGGCATAATTATTTAATACAAATCAGTTATTTAATAAAATTCCTCAAATTTAATTAATAATCTCACTGTGTAGCAAAAAATTGCACGCAAACCGAAGTTGGATTGAATTTTTATAAATTTTTCACAAATAAATAATTAGTCCTTTAATTGTTTATCCAAATTAACTTTTAACTATGAGTGAATAATCTACTAATCCGGACTAACAGCCATTTTATTTCTCTTAACTCCAAGAGTTAGCCTATTCGGATTACGCTAAATCGGTTTTAACCTCGCGCATAAACGTAGTAATAGTTAACATGTACCCCCATTACAAAATACTAGTTTTATACATTGCTGCCTGGGATATATTATGTATAAAAATTTTAAATAAGTCGTATGCGTATTTCTACGTAAATTAATATTAATGTGTCAATAAAACGTAACGTACTTGTTTGTATTCCGGATCATTGTGTTGGTAAATAACGTTGGGCATCGGCCAATCCGACCGTTTGCGTCCGACGTAGTTAACCAACACGAACTCCAATAGACTGGCGTATATACAACACATGCATACGCCATCCCAAACGTTCATGGCCGTCAGATTGGACACCACTGGCAATGTGCTTCGAAAACCGTTTGAAGTAGTGAAAAAATTCAACATTGTGGTTACACCTGCGACCGACCATTAATCACAAATATATTATGTATTATTAACGTGCGATAAGTTGGGGCTTTTTCGATTTTCTCGAGTAGTTGACTCGGACCCCATCGGCTGTTGACAAATAATCATTAAAGCAAATTAAATACCTATCATCACTCGTGCAGGCACTGCGTTCCATTCCAGAAAGAACGTGATGAACGACGAGGTCACCAATATTATGCCTGGTATAAAAACTGTGGTCACATAAAACGCTCGATCCCGTGTAAAAATCAGGTCAACTTGTAGACAACTGTAATTCCCTAATTTAATAAAAACGATTTTGTTTTATACCACTTAAGATCATTTCAATACATTATATAAATATTATTATACATTTCTCAAAACAAGTAAATAAATACAGTTTGCACTGTTAAGTTTTACTAGGCTTTAAGCGAGATTTCCATGATACCTTTATGTGTACAATATAAAATGTACCTAATTAATGTTTTATTACATTTCAAAGTAAATGACAGATAGAGGTCGTGTCTCGTTCAATGTTGTCTTGGAAAAAAAAACAATATTTTTTTAATAGTCATGCTTAATTGAGATATGTAATTCGATATTTTGAGTGTTGCCAACCTTAACGAGTTATTAAATACAAGTGAAAACCGTTAAGTTTTCGTAAGATATAATTTTTTGCCCCGTTAAAACCGTGTAAATTGTTTATATGTTGTTAAATAAATGTTAAAAACAATTAAAACCTTTAGAGAGTGAAAGGTTTTAAACATTGGACGTCTGTTTTTAAGAAAGACACAGGTACGGAAAACTATTAGTTCTCACATTTCAAGTAGCTCTTATTGACAAGACATTGAACTTGTTACATACCTCTCCAACTTCCGGTGGATGGACACTCCGTCGTGTGATTACGATCCAAGTACGCGTTTAAAGTTTTTAGTGATGGCGACTTCTTCAGCGTGCTCTCGTCGTTCTTCCAGACATATTTTATGGCCGACATCTCATATGATACTATAGACAAACACAAGTAGGTACATTGTTGCAAATGGTGATAAAGTAAGTAATTTAAAACGCCGTCAGAGAATATGGAACAAAGATAAGACACTTTAATTTTCAAACTTGTATTTTTGTTTTCGTCTAATTGGATGTACTAATATGCGCCTAGTTGAGTGTATCCTTGGAACTTCAATAGCTTTTATGTTTGTCGCCTTATCGACTACAGTGTACGAGGAATAGCAAGTAACCAATGGGATACAGTCAACAAATAGGGTTTGTAAGAACATGATCATTATATTTTTTTTATGTGTCTACTTATCACGGTTCTCTCTCTTCCTTGGCGTTATCTTTATACAAAGTTAAGTACTGTCTAATAGTTAGAAATATTTTTTGAAATAATTAGAACCGGAATTAAACAAACTGACTTTTAAAGCCTCAAAAACCCCATTGACTTCCAAGGGTACTTCTTCAAAAATGTCTGCATAAATTAAAGTCATGAGGCATAGTCTTATTAAAAAACCCTGTATTGTTTGAGAAGAAAACAAAAAAAAAATGAATGGCCGTTTTCATAGGCTTGGTTGATGTGTACTTTATTTTTAAGCTAAATTAATGAGAACCGCCGTGAAATATTTAGATATAATACATATTAACATTAAAATTTAAATTTAAAGCATATTTAATCACTGTTAATTAAGTATACAAATGCTGTCCATTTACTCTAAACAAATACAAAGTTTGATATTTTAAGAAGACAACAAAACAAAAAGGTAAATAAACATTTTTAATATTAATAAATACGAATAGATTACGAATAGTAAGGGATTTTCCCCGTAGTGATTGTTTTTTGTATACCAATTTTGTAGTTAGATAAAGATTAATATATGTCATACTGAAATACCAAAGAAAACCAATCGAATTATTGATATTATAAATTGGTAGGTTCAGAAATTATGCTCAAAAAGAATGTAAACAATTTTATATAATAATAAAAATAATTTTGTTTTTTTGCTGTGTGTTATAATATACTAAAAATATACTCACTGCTTTCCATTGAGAAAGTGCATTGGGGGTCATCAAATGGAAATATGTTCAGTATACCTTGACACGACAAGATCAAATGCGTCCTATAAATAGCAGTAAAATAAGGGCCAAAAACTACACGTGCCGCTTTCTTGCGAGGTCAGAAGACCGTTACCTAAGTAAGTAATGCACGCTGCCGTTCCTGTAGATCCTCAGGGAAAACGCATTAGGTATCAGCGACTTTTTGAACTCGCCGTGCATAATAAAGTATGTATCTGGCAGCCATATTTGAGCATGGTGGTGTATTGCATTCAAGAAATCGTATCTACTTAGATTTGAATATCGGAGTCGCGGGTCATACCACTGTTGCTGTAGTAAAAACTCAACTTCGTATTTCTAGAAAAAAACAAAAAAATGCGAAACAATTTGATTAGTATAATAAAACTGTTTGGTAAAAAAAAATCTGTGTTGAAGAATATTTAAATATTTATATTTTTACACTAACCACAAGGGACTGCAGTTGGAAAACAAAAAAAAATGCGAAACAATAACAAGGTTTATGAAATAAAAAATGAAAAAGACATGACTACGTTTTTGGTCCTATACAATTCAAAAGAAAGATATTAACTTAAAATTTACATATTCTACCTAGTTGTTTATAGGAGTAAATAAAAAAAAATATAAGTGAGTTTGAAAACTAATAAAAGCTTATTTTATATAAATCCTAAAAAAATATTTGTCTCTAATCAAAGTTGTCGACGGAGTTGGGAAAAAATTAAATAAGATAATAAATAATGTAAAACTATTAAGTAAATATAATACCTATAATTAATGTTTTCCTATTTATAGACAAAAATTCTTTTCAATAAATAAAAATAAATAATAAATAAAAAAACTGTTTTATTACTTAAATACTTTTTTGTTATCTTAAGATAATTTAAAAAAATTGTAACTTTTTTTTTATAATTTAGACATTCTAATTCAAACAAATAATAATACTTATAAATAGTACATACAAAATAGAAGATAACGAATAAAAAAAAGATAATCTTAACTATTAAACAAATTACCTTGGCGAATAATAAATACCAAATAATTTGAAACAAAAAACGAATAACAATAGTTGTATTTATAAATAATGTATTAATAAATGAAAAAATAAAAGATTATGTTTTATTTTCGCTTATGAAAATAATGCCGAACTCTAATAATTGTCAGACATTTGCCATTTTTAAGTACAATTAATTAAATACATTTTAATACTGACGATACTCACCAAGCTAGACTCGTCGGGTGACGCCAAACTGAGCAAAAGTACACTGACATTGACTAACAAAGGTCCTAATAAATCATAATACAAGATAAATAATATAAAACGTTATAACAGATAAACTAGTATTATAAAATTTAACCAACGAATAGCCCGTACCTTTGCGAATCGGATGTTTATGTACGGATGGCAGGACAACTCGCATGTCCTTAGGAGTTTTCATACCACAACAGAAGTCTTGATCTAAATGGTTTTATAAATATATATTACACATTTAAAATTATTATCTTAGACGCTAGATGTGTGAATTAAATTTTTAAAATGGGCGCTTCTTTAATTGCACTAGCAGTAGTTTAGTACTTAACAACTTGAATAAGACCTGTGAGTTATAGTTACAAGAAAATACTAGGCGTGTCATCAAATGTCTATAATATTTATGAGTTTTAATTTAAATGAAGGAAGACAAGAAAATTTCATGACATTAAGAAAATGACAAGCGATAAATGAACTTGGCTGTTAATCATTCATACTTAGGAACTTAATTTCAATAGTGAACTGACAGCATATTTTGCATAATGATCGTTAAAAGTGCTTTCTTAAAAAAACAATTTTCATGTAAATAAATAACGTTTATAAATATTATATACTATCCTTTAGTTCCGCACATTATATTTCGATTTAGCTTAGCGATTTCGGTACGCTTTGACAGCTGATTAATTACATATTTCTAATGAAATGTGTACATTTATTATTATTTATTTAGGTTCACCCTGTGTAATCCATTAAACAGTGCGATGAACCATTTCGCAACACTGATTTCAAACCAGACCGGAACCACTACAATATAAAAGCTGTAATGGAACAAAAACCTTTACACAGGTCGTTGCCTGCAAATTATTTTGGTTTCCTGTGTTTCTTGTAGACCTTTTTAATACTAATGGATATCACTCTATTAATAGTCTATAACCGAGTAATCACACCTCAAATACCGAATATTAACTCACCGTCCACCGGAGGCAACAGTCTCATGTCATATCTGTTTTCGTTTAATAAGTCATCTAATATTTCTTTATCCGATTTTCCGTTCTCGAATCTAAAAAATAAATAAAAAATCATGTTGAACGCATTTACCATGCTATTAAAGAGTTTTTAAATACATTTGTGAAGTGAAGCTTATTAAAAATGTTATTACAAAATTTTTGAAAACCCCCAAAAGATCATAGTAAGAGCAAATCAAATATATTTTAACGATTAAGTAATAAAATTAATAGTAATTGAAAAATATATTCAAACAAATGTCATTATGTCATTGTTAGATATCAAAATATTTATGACACAATGTTATTTTCTAATATTGAAATAGACGAGAGACTTGATAAAAATATACATTATGTTACACTTACACGTCTGAGCTTTCCGGCATTACATTTTGAAGCAGCACCACGAGAACGGAAGCTACCAGTAGCAGCTTCCATATTTGTTCCATTCTATGACATCTGCAATAAAATTTAGGCATTTTCAAAAATATTGTTAGGTTCAAACTATCATAAGTAATAATAATAAACTATACAAAATCTCATAGTTTTAACGCTTTTTTTTTGGAATAGCACACAATACTATCATTTTTTTTTTGGTAAAAATAATTTATGTACTAAAGTCAAAGTATAATCTCTAAAATAAGATTTATTGGATGGTGTCCAGGATAAAAATTTAATTTTTTTTTAACCAAGCTTTGGAAACTACTGCATTTTAGGAGGCATACAATATTAAAACGGTTTATCTTAAAGGTTTTTTTTTACTTCAATAGTAGTTAATTAAAATATTAAATTTTTATATAAATAGTTTTCTTAATTTTTAACGAGCCTTAAAAAATCAAATCATAGATATGCTGAACTATACTTTAAATTTGGATAAGTATAAATTAAATTAAACAATAGACCTCCATTCGATCTATGCGGTTAATAGGTATGTCATGAAACTGTACTATTATAACGACGATAAATTAACTACACGACAGCCTTGCCCTAGGTCAGTTAGAGAAATTATTATATTTTTCCTGTACAAACGAAACTCTAGGGACCTATACAAAAATTATTTTAGCGCCTTGATTGCATTGCGCGTTATTCATGTCACGCGAACATTCTAGTACGGATAATTTATTTTGTTTATACAGTCAGTTTTTTAATCGACATAAAAATTATCACGACGGTAAAAATGGCGTGAAAACAGAAACCCATAAAAAATGAATAATGTAGGTAAAATAACAAAAAAACAGGGGATGGTTAGGCGTTGCCGTTGTGATATGAAAACATACTTTACAAAGGATAGTGAACAACCAAATAACTATTTTTGAAATTATTGAAGTTTCATGTTTAGGGCAGGAGGAAAGGTGGAGTGTATTTTTATTTTTATCTACGCCAATTTCCCAACCACACTTCCCCTCCCATCCTAACTTTAAAACTCTTATAACTTTAAAATAGTTATCCAAACCTGGTTATCGACCAGTCAAAATGTTTAGTACATTATTCTCAATTTAAAAAGTTAATAAAATATATACGTTACCATTTAAGTTCCAAAAGTTTCTATCAAAAAAACTAAGTTGAGAAGGGGTAAAAACAAAAAAAATTGTGAAAAATTGAGATCACATTGTATAAAAACAATATGAAAAAAAATTTTAATTTCTTATTCAACCCTATGAGATATTGAGAGGCTCGTGATAAAAAAATCACTCTGTATAAAAATAATTTCAATAAATGTTTATATATAAACATTAAATAAATATTTAATTATCTACTAAGCATATGTAATTTTGGAAAAATGTCGATTGTTTACTACAAATAATTGTAATATACAATTTGATATTATTTAGTTTTCAAAAAATATACATTTAATAACAAGCTATTTAAGTCATTCAAATAACTTATATATTTAATTTAATAATATATATTTTTTTAAGTCAGTAGTAGTTTTTATAAATAATGAAAGAATATTTGATGCAGTAAATACAAATTATATGATACGCTAAATAAAAGTGTATTCCAAATAAATCATTTAAATTGCACAGTTTATGCGGCCAGCTGAATTCGATTTGTGATAAAATTGTATACACTCTAGCTCAAAAACTGTAGAAATTATGTGTTGGATATTGATATTTGTGTTTGAATATGTGATATTTGCTATTATCAGTCGAACTTAACCTTTACCTTTGGACCCTGCAAAGAGTTTTTCAAAACTATTTTTGTTTCAACATGGTTTCAATTATATACTTTAGTTTTTTGAAAGTTATGTGCCAATGATAGTGTCACTAGTTAATAAAAGTCATGATACACCGTGGTGGCATAGTTAAGAAACTCGTAATCTACTTTATTGTTCATGGTATTGAAATAATTCACAAAACAAATTTTAAAGTCCCTTAGTTATGACAAATGTGACACACACCCGACACGTGGTCCTGCGTTTTCAGTTGTACTTAATGATGAATGACAACGCACCGGTAGAATATTGTTTACAATGTCTCTGGGGAAAGGTCAGTGTTAGGTATTACACGTCATATCAAAATAATATATTATATTCTTATGGTTAAATACGAATGACACAATTTAACCGCTTAGATTAAATTGCAAGTATACATAGCAGGCTCACTGTATAGGCATACAACAACCGTATAGAAAAAAATAATAAAAACATCAAATTACATTATACGTATATAGTACTATTATTCTCATACATTGACATTGGCTCGCTTTGATAATTTATACAAAACGTACAAATAATTTATTATATATCTAACAAATTAATACAAAAGTAACACTAAGTGCACAAAAAACAAATATTGAAAAACACCATGTTCGCCTTTAGTGTTTTACCGGACCTATTTATCTCGGTTCATATACTCTCGGTTTATTTTTTAAACTTATCATTATAACAGCAACCCATTTACAGTTTCATAAATCATAGTTAAAAACACTAAAATTTCTTTTCTCTATCTATTGATTTATATTTATGCAAAACAGTTTTTATAGTTTGTACTATTTTACATTTATTTATTTTATGTACGGTTTTACTACTAGAAACACGATGATATTATATTGAAACTCTTTCATCCGTGTTTCGCATTACCAGTCATGCGAGTATAATAAAAATATCAATATTCCGTTCATAAAGAACACAACAAGTATATTTTGTTCTACTTATGGCAAAGAATTCTAAGAGGACTTTATTTTTACGTTGTCATATTAAATGACTCATATACCTTATATACACAAATCGCGTGTCAGTCACTTTTCATTAGAGCACGAGGTCATACTAACATTTCCCTTGTTGCTACAGCTTTTGTTTATGTGCTTTGTACATTACACGCCCAAAGAAAAATTCAAGATATTATTTTCACTATAATATGAGAAAATTCTATCGGATAGTAACATTATTGCTGTTCTTCCCTTACTTCCTGGGTTATAGTAAATAAAAATAAGTTTTGTTTATTTAATATGACCTTTTACGTATTCATAATTCTTACCCTTTTTTTTTTATATAAATATTTCAAATCGAGTTTTCAGCGCTTTCAAACGTTTTAAAAATTCATCACCTGTCATCCCATTTAGATGCCGTCTCGCTCTTGAACGCCGTGGCTTCCGGTTGAGTAGAAATAAACCCTTTCAGTCTGATTTTAGTATTCAGGAGCGAAAGCAGTTGTTTATCGGTACCGAATCTCGTGAATAGAATGGCCACTGAATAGCCGTTTTTAGTTAAAAATATTTTTTATTTATTATTTATACTTTATATGCGAACCGGATCATTGTCCATTGAATAGATGTATTTATGCAAACAACAATGCATTGTCCACATCATAAAGAATTGACCGCAATATATTGTCAAGCTGAAGAAAAATTCTAAATTCTAAACGACCGTAATTTTATACCCTTGAGGTAGAAAATAATACAATGAAAATATGTTAACTCCTTAAAAGTTCATTCTGAGGTTATATTTTGTTAATTATTGCTTATTATTTTATTCAAATTTTACTATTCTTGTTTAAGATTGTATTTATTATAAATTTAATTTTAGTATTTAAAAGTTTTGGTCGCAAAAATGAAATGTAATTGTCTCTTCTTTTTAGGTTAAAAAAACTGTTAATTGTAATTAATATTTTAGGAAATTACGACTTATGTAAAACCAAATGCTTTCGAAAAGCGCCTCAGGCTAAAACAACAGACAAACTTTAAATTTAAAATATAAATGTATATTTTGATAATTATTCTTCTAACATTTATTTCAGAGTTTATCAGTGTAATGCTACGGGAAAAAATATTTGGACTAAAAAGCCAAATCAATAAATATTTAATGTATAACATAAACCCAAAATTGAAAGCGACAAGTTTAATTATTCTTATCATTAATTAAATTGTCTGCGAACTTATTAGTGCCTAATCGTTTTTTGTTCGTTAGATATCAACAAACTATCACCACGATAGGCACAATTTCTAGATAGCATAAAATTAATTTGGAAAAATGAAACATAGTTTTAGTTTGCCAGCAATGTTTACAAAAACATTTAGAGCTTTAAACCATCTAATTATTAAGGAGTAAAGTATAAGCAATTAGTAATAAGAAAAAAGTTGACATAAAGCTAACATTTGTCTATTCATATATCAAGTTAGCAAAAAGGCATCTGTATTAATATTTATTTGCTAACAATTTTATAAAAATGTCAGGCCCTAGTTTTGTGATAATTGTATATCAATACTCGTTTCGAAAGATGCACTTTCCTAAGAAGCTAACTAGTTCTAGGAAATATTCATCTGTAAAAAACACCGATTAACACAATGAAAAGTACAAAAAAATATCTAACACGGGTTTTCCACATTTTTTTTCTTTGCCATGAAAGCATATCTAAGCTCTTACAAAAACGCAAAATTCTATCCAATCGAATGAGCTATGTTGGGTTTCGTTGTTGTTTCATGCAGTCAAAATAACACCTCCACTCCCTAAATTATAATTGTGTATACAAGGTGATTCGTTTATCATGAACCAGTCAATATCTCACTGGGTTTAATTAATATATATAATATATATTTTTTTTAAATGTTTTTTTAAAACGTGATCTCAATTTTTCACATTTTTTTTTGTTTTTACTCCCTCCCAACTTAGTTTTTTTGAAAGAAACTTTTAAAACTTAAATGGTAACGTATATGTTTTATTAACTTTTTAAATTGAGAATAATGTACTAAAAATGTTGACTGGTCCGTATGATAACCAGTTTCGGGCAACTGTTTTTAAAGTTATAAGAGTTTAAAAGTTAAGATGGGAGGGGAAGTGTGGTTGGGAAATGCGCGCGGATAAAAATAAAAATACACTCCACCTTTCCCCTACTGCCCTAAGCTTGAAACTTCAATAACTTCAGAAATGTATGTGTATGTTTTCACGGGAAAAGATCCACGGGTATGGCGTTGATTCGCGGTTTTACGTCGAACGCCGCTGCTGCTGTTTTTGTGGGTTT